ACACGGGGACAGGAGCTTAGTAGAATGGTTTCCATAGTATACATTGTCACTCTGACCCTAACCTGAATCCCAGATCTGTTTATGTGGTCTTGCCAAATAGCTAAGGTCTTTCAAATGTTATTCTGACCCAGTGAATAAGCAAAACCATTTTTCTAGCCAGTACCCAGTCTTGAGCAAGACCCAAGAGGAACAACTTTAACTGCAGTGCACCAGTGGGTTTGGTTCCCGACCAACAATTTGGGAAACATTGCCAGGCTTAACTTACACTTGGCGTTTATATGCTTAACAGCAGGTCGAGACAGTGCTATTGACTGACAACCAAAGCTAATTTTGCAACAGTGATAATACGGATACAATCAGTCATCCTTGCTTTAAATAACTTTGCATAATTTGTGTTTGTGCCAAGGAATAGTTGCATAAAACCACATGGCATGCACTCTAAAATCTTCATCCACATACAGTATATAAATTGAGGCATCTCTTTGTCATAAGCTTATGCAGAACAATAGCCTGCTCTGACTCAGAACCTTTTGGGGTACTTAAAGAGTTGTAGTTACTCACTCTCCCGGAGGTGCTGGTCTGAAGATACAGTAGGTTAAAGGCTTGGTATAGTCATGCTTCACTATGTGACCTCCGTGGAGTCTTCCTTAGGCGTCCACCTTCCATAAAGCCAGGACTCCCATCTACACAGATCAACGACAGCACATTCACACACACACACCAAAGACTGAAGAGGACTATGAGAATATCTCCACTTTGAAAATGTGGTGTGTGTGTGACCGTGTGTCTGCAACGTCTGTGTTCACACGCACTCACCTGATCCTCGGTGACCAGACGGCTGCCGGAGCTGCTCCACAGGGTGATGCAGGCGCTGTGTGTGGTGGGCAGCTGTGTCTGCTCCCCAGAGGGGTGAGTGAGCAGCAGCACCTCGCCCGTCTCCCAGCCCAGAGCCTTGGTGGGGTGCCAGCGCAGCACTGTGGGCTGGAAGGGACGATCCCCGTGGCAGTTACCTACGTGCTCCCCCTACACAATGATAGGAGAACAGTTCTATCAATGCATTAGTAGCAGTTTCATACTCGTCTACATCAAAGCTATAAAACAGTGGATGACCCAACATCAATGAAGGACAAGGAGTTTTCTATCTTTCAGTGTGTATTGGGGTTAAAAAGTGCAGTGCGTCATTTGATCAATTGCAGAATACTGGCAGATTGAGGACAGGGTGGATGCAACTCTGACCAAATGCAGTGTGTGGTAAAGGGGCTCACCTGTTGGAGGAAGAGGTTGATGTTGCCCCCGGTAGTGGGGCTGTTGGAGGCCACTGCTAGTACAGGCTGAGTCTGATGCCATGCCACCTGAGAGGAGGCCCCGCTAGATTCAGGGGCCTCAATACAGTGATCAAAGTACACCAACATGTCCCCTGTGCCCTGATCTGTGGAGAGAAGAGGTCGGAAGAAGAGAAGGAACATTAGGAGGAGGAATGAAGAATGAGGAGGAGAGAGGTCCCAAGAAAACATACATTGTAATATGTCACTTATGTGTTGCATCAAGTGACTTGATCAGATAACCAAGCAACAGATTAACTACTGCTGCTGCTAAGCAAGTTAGCTAAAAACTGCTTGAATGATGTCCCTGACATTTGTAGCTAGATAGCTAAGCTAACTTAGCTAGCTAATACAAACAGACATGTCTGTACAAAAGTGTCTCCTGGTTATTTGTGACCGTTATGTGGATTACTGGACAAAACTAATAGCAAAATACAAGCTAGCTACAGTTGAAGTCGGAAGTTTACATACACCTTAGCCAAATACATTTAAACTCAGTTTTTCACAATTCCTGACATTTAATCCTAGTACAAATTCCCTGTCTTAGATCAGTTAGGATCACCACTTTATTTTAAGAATGTGAAATGTCAGAATAATAGTAGAGAATTATTTATTTCAGCTTTTATTTATTTCATCACATTCCCAGTGGGTCAGAAGTTTACATACACTCAATTAGTATTTGGTAGCATTGCCTTTAAATTGTTTAACTGGAGTCAAACGTTTCAGGTAGCCTCCCACAATAAGTTGGGTGTATTTTGGCCCATTCCTCCTGACAGAGCTGGTGTAACTGAGTCAGGTTTGTAGGCCTCCTTGCTCGCACATGCTTTTTCAGTTCTGCCCTACACATTTTCTATAGGATTGAGGTCAGGGCTTTGTGATGGCCACTCCAATACCTTGACTTTGTTGTCCTTAAGCCATTTTGCCACAACTTTGGAAGTATGCTTGGGGTCATTGTCCATTTGGAAGACCCATTTGCGACCAAGCTTTAACTTCCTGACTGATGTCTTGAGACGTTTCTTCAATATATCCACATCATTTTCCTTCCTCATGATGCCATCTATTTAGTGAAGTGCACCAGTCCCTCCTGCAGCAAAGCACCCCCACAGCATAATGCTGCCACCCCCGTGCCTCACGGTTGGGATGGTGTTCTTCGGCTTGCAAGTGTCCCCTTTTTCCTCCAAACATAACAATGGTCATTATGGCCGATTTGCCTACAGCTCTGTAAATAAAGCGAACTTGAATACAAAAATAGCTCTCTACTTCAAGTTAATACATATTCTCAGAACCTGTTAATTTGATTACCAGTCAATTAGATGCAACATGGAGGGTTACTGATAGTGTACCTGTGTCTATCAGAAAAATACAATATCATTCTCCTCAGGAGGGCAAGGATTTGTAGGTGTGACATCTCACCATGGTCCTGAAACAGAAAGGAGCCAGGAACAATTTACCTAGTAGCCTGGTCCCAGATCCGTTGTGCTGCCTTCCCAACTCCTTGACACACTCATTGTCACAGCAAACATGAGAACAAAAACAGAGTGGCACACAGGCTACTGAGCTAGTGGTTTATATCTCTATTTTATTTTATATACAGTACCAGTCAAAAGTTTGGACACACCTACTCATTTTTACTATATTCTACATTGTAGAATAATAGTGAAGACATCAAAACTATGAAATAACACACATGGAATAATGTAGTAACCAAAAAAGTGTTAAACAAATCAAAATATATGTTATAGTCCTCAAAGCAGCCACCCTTTGCCTCGATGACAACTTTGCGCTCTCTTGGCATTCTCTCAACCAGCTTCATGAGGTAGTCACCTGGAATGCATTTCAATTAACAGGTGTGACTTGTTAAACGTTTATTTGTGGAATTTCTTTCCTTCTTAATGCGTTTGAGCCAATCAGTTGTGTTGTGACAAGGTAGGGGTGGTATACAGAAGATAACCCTATTTGGTAAAAGACCAAGTCCATACTATGGCAAGAACAGCTCAAATAAGCAAAGAGGAATGACAGTCCATCATTTAAAACATGAAGGTCAGTCAATACGGAACATTTCAAGAACTTTGAACGTTTCTTCAAGTGCAGTCGCAAAAACCATCAAGCACTATGATGAAACTGTCTCTCATGAGGACCGCCACAGGAAAGGAAGACCCAGAGTTACCTCTGCTGCAAAGGATAAATTCATAATTTAACTGCACCTCAGATTGCAGCCCAAATAAGTGCTTCACAGAGTTCAAGTAACAGACACATCTCAACATCAACTCTTTAGAGGAGACTGCGTGAATCAGGCCTTCATGGTCGAATTGCTGCAAAGAAACCACTCCTAAAGGACACCAATGATAAGAAGAGACTTGCTTGGGCCAAGAAACATGAGCAATAGACATTAGACTGGAGGAAATCTGTCCTTTGGTCTGATGAGTCCAAATGTTTGGTTCCAACCGCTGTCTTTGTGAGACACAGAGTAGGTGAACGGATGATCTCTGCATGTGTGGTTCCCACAGTGAAGCATGGAGGAGGTGTGATGGTGCTTTGCTGGTGACACTGTCTGTGATTTATTTAGAATTCAAGGCACACTTAACCAGTATGGCTACAACAGCATTCTGCAGCGATACACCATCCCATCTGGTTTGTGCTTAGTGGGACTATCATTTGTTTTTCAACAGGACAATGACCCAAACACACCTCCAGGCTGTGTAAGGACTATTTGACCAAGAAGGAGAGTGATGGAGTGCTGCATCAGATGACCTGGCCTCCACAATCACCCGATCTCAACCCAATTGAGATGGTTTGGGATGAGTTGGACCACAGAGTGAAGGAAAAGCAGCCAACAAGTGCTCAGCATATGTGGGAACTCCTTCAAGACTGTTGGAAAAGCATTCCTCATGAAGCTGGTTGAGAGAATGCCAAGAGTGTGCAAAGCTGCCATAAAGGCAAAGGGTGGCTACTTTGAAGAATCTAAATATGATTCCATGTGTTATTTAATAGTTTTGATGTCTTCACTATTATTCTACAATGTAGAAAACACCTATAGTACAGATGGATGTTCCTGGTCAGGAAAAACAAACAAAAAAGATATCCTCCACAAACATTTTAATATGTCATTTATTTTTTGTCTAATGACATCCTCCTTTCCAGTCTTTGTATGTTTCAACTGCTTAATAAATTAGATTGTGTGTGTGTGTGTCTGCAAGTATACACTGAGTGTACAAAACATTAGGAACACATGCTCTATCCATGACAGACTCAACCCAGGTGAAAGCTATAATCCCTTATTGGATGTCACCTGTTAAATCCACATCAATCAGTGTAGATGAAGGGGAGGAGACAGGTTAAAGAAGGATTTTTAAGCCTTTAAGACATGAACTGTGTGTCATTCAGAGGGTGAATTGGCAAGACAAAATATTTAAGTGCCTTTGAACGGGGTATGGTAGTAGGTGCCTGTCGCACCTGTTTGAGTGTGTCAAGAACTGCGACGCTGCTGGGTTTTTCACGCTCAACAGTTTCCCATGTGTATCAAGAATGGTCCACCACCCAAAGGACATCCAGCTAACTTGACACAACTGTGGGAAGCATTGTAGTCAACATGGGCCAGCATCCCTGTGGAACGCTTTCAACACCTTGTAGAGGTGCTCTGACAAATTGAGGCTGTTCTGAGGGCAAAATGAATGTGTTCCTAATGTTTTGTACACTCAGTGCATGTGTGGCACTGTTCCACACTCCTCCTTCCCACACACACACACACACACTTCTTTCCTTTGGCATGCATTTATTCGTTTCAGGATATGGTGGGCCAGCAGCACCTGCAGTTCTAGCTAAAAGGACATCCTTCAGTGTCCAGGATCCGCCACATCCTCGGGCCGCCTGCCAGCCAGTTCCTGGTGGCAAGCATAATTTGTACTCCTGTCACAACCAGTGTCCTAAAGCAGTCACTACCAATACACCGGCAGTCACAACCAATACACTAGCTGTCTGTTGCCCTGAGTACACCAGAGGGATAGGACTTCAAGGTCCACTGTGTATCATCATGTCATGATCATGACTGGAGGCCCAGCGCAGCAGGGTTCAGTTCAGTCTTCAGACTCTTCTCCAGCAGCACCAGGCTCTGCACGGCCAGGTTCCTGCAGTCTGCATCAGGGTCCCCTTCAGCTACATCTGTCAACAGCACAACAGGTCAGACCATGAGTACCATCATTACCATAAACAGGTAGAAATTAACCATAAGGAGCAATGAGGCTGTTCAACCAATAAAACAAGAATGTATTTTCTAAATGCAAGGCTTTTTTAAATGCAACACAGTTGATTCACATTGAAAACTCAAACGTTTTCATGATTCTGTAACGTTTTTAACATACATGTGTCTTCTTGACTATTGGTAATATCCTTGGGAGAATTGAAATTCCCATGGATGAGTGAATGACGTCACAGACAGTCTGCGTTGGACAGGATATCCTGGATTCCCTACATTTCCCAGCAATGCTCACCCCAGCTGTGTGTGTGTGTGTGTATGTGCGTGTGTAAGTGATATCTCTGATTGACACACACTGAGCAGCTGCATGAACATCTGGACTGTGCTCTTTTTAACCACATTCTTCTGCACATCCCTAAAATACACATAAGCCAAGGTCAGCCCTGAATGATGCCATCAAGGGTGTGTAAAACCTACAGCGCTAATGTGACATGCTAGCAACCCAATGGTAGGGTCAAAAATACCCATCAACAAATCATTATTTTTGAGAAGTATAGACTGCAGTGCGGAGATGGCAAAGGACTCGTAGATGACCACTACTTTTAACTGATGTACGGTGAGCTTCTTAGCGCCAGTGGCAGATTAAGCATCACCCAAGTGGGTGCTGCACATTAGTAGAGGAGTACGCCTGCAAAGTCCAGTGTGGCTGCAGAGAAGCTGAGGAGGACTGAGGATGACCTCGGGCCAGAGAGCAAGTTGACGCGACTCGGGCTGGTACCCAAACTAACCTCTCCCAGACCATTATACCAGCAGCCAACTGATTGACCATCTTCCACCATCGTCCAACTCTGACTTACTGATTTTTCAAAGTTGTTTTTGTTTAAAACTACTTATATGTGCTGTGTACTGCAATTCAGCTCTAGCTGCCAAGTACGGCCTACATGTAATCATAATAAACTACTACTAATGTCAATGAACTGTACTTCCTGAATTGACTGGGTGAGACTAAATGAACAACTCTGCCATGTATGTTGAGATACGGTAGGCTGGTCTCAACTCTTGCATATAGTAACAGAAGTGATACTTTATTGCTCTGCCCTGTCCTGTATTCTCACCTGCCAGCCATGCTCTGGTCTCAAACAGCTGATCACTGAGCTCCACCAGCAAACTCTGACTGGGCATGCTCAGAAAGACGGAGCAGACAGCAAATAGGACTCCTCGCCGCACCGTCCTGTGTTGGAAATACAGTGGTTGGGTAAGCCATAGACCAATCGGACGAAAGACCTTCCCTTCCTACCCACACTAAAACAGTTTCCTATTTATGACGTGTGTATAGATATACTCACTGGTCAACGTGGTAGCGTACGGCCCAGACAAAGTCCAACAGAGCTCTGCCCATCTGAGTGGCCACCTGCAAAACACCAGACAACCCATTCGATCACATAGTCAAGTCACAGCAATGGGGACATTTTCTGAGGTGACACCAGGATATGCAGTAGGGAAATAATGGACATGTTTCAGACACCTCACTAAGTCAAATACTAGTCTAGTCACAGCAAGGGGGACATCTTATGAGGTGACACCAGAATAAATGGCGTTGTAGCCTACCGGAGCATTGACTGCTAGGTGCATGAGGAGGCCCAGCGTGTGGATCAGTCTCCCCAGGACCAGGTGGTCACCGCCCAGCAGGTCAAAGGTCACCTGAGGCCTAGGAGTCAAGGTCAAGGAGGAATGTTAGTGGAACAACAATGTTGTTCACTTGCACACAAGATCTCAAATACTATTGTAAGGTGTAACACAAATAAACTGTACTTCAAATTAAGAATGCTGTATCACACACACACACCATGCAAGGGCGCACACACACACTCTCTCATTGCCTCACACTCACTTGCTAGAGACCCATACACACACAAACCTGTCATAGTTTCTGAGCAGAGGGAAGAAGAAGTGGCCAGCGACAGGGGCATAACGGTTTGGGGTGGGCTTGGCTGGGGGGCGAGTGACGCCCTGAAATGATGGCAGAACAGTACCCATCTTAACATTGATCAGGAATCAGATAGAGCTACTGTATGGTTTGAGTCTTAAATAATACTCGGTCAAACTGGAATTAAAAGGCAAAGAAATAACTTTATTGAAACTGTTTTGCAGCCTACCTTACTGAGCCGTTTGGTCTTGCTCTGAATTCGCCTCTCCACCACTTGTCGCCAGTGTATTGGGTCATCGCCGGGGTAAAGAGGTGTATCCATGGTAACCTGCTGAATGGCCTTGGATGGACCTCCTTTGTCAGTGATTGGTTGAGAGAGCTCCTGGGCAGACATAGTGAGGACCTGACAACGGGGAGACAACAGTTAATAAATAGTTATGAAGCCTTTATAAAGGCATTCTACATTCACAAAAGCTAATAGGGAGGAACCGTGTTCTCTTCACCTCTAAAATATCCAGCCGTTGTCGTAGACTGTAGTTCATGGAGTAGAACTCTGTGGTCAGATACTCAGTCACCTGTGAATGAAAGGGATGAGAATCGAAAAGGACATGGTGCATTTAGCAGTGAATATTGGTCATATACACTGACTGTACAAAACATTAGGAACACCTTCCTGATATTGAGTTGCACCCCCTTTTGCCTCAGAACAGCCTCAATTCGTAGGGGCATGGACTCTACAAGGTGTTGAAAGCGTTCCACAGGGATGCTGGCCCATGTTGACACCATTGCTTCCCACAGTTGTGTCAAGTTGGCTGGATGTCCTTTGGGTGGCGGACCATTCTTGATACAAACGGGAAACTGTTGAGTGTGAAAAACCCAGCAGCGTTGCAGTTCTTGACACAAACCAGTTCGCCTCGCACCTAAAACCATACCCCGTTCAAAGGCACTTAAATAGTTTGTCTTGCCCATTCACCCTCTGAATGGCACACACACAATCCATGTTTCAATTGTCTCAAGGCTTAAAAATCCTTCTTCAACCTGTCTCCTCCCCTTCATCTACACTGCTTGAAGTGGATTTGACATCAATAAGGGATCATAGCTTTCACCTGGATTCATCTGGTCAGTCGATGTCATGGAAAGAGCAGGTGTTCCTAATGTTTTGTACACTCAGTGTATGAAACTAAACCATTATATAAAAGGTAAACGGTTAAGACTAAGGTGAAATATCTTACGGGGACAGAGTCGGTGACAGTGAGGGCCACCATAGCAGCCTGCCTGAGACTCAGGAAACCCACAGTGTTGTACCTGTCCTCCATGTGCAGCAGCACCTTGCTCAGCTCAACACTGACCTGAGGAGCGACAAACATTAAGGGAACAACTATAACATGGGAACTATATGCTTATCATATGAATGTAGTAAACAGTGTGTGACCGCTCACCTCTCGGGCTGTAGAGGTGTTCTTCCTCACCAAGCCCTCAATGGCTCTTAGACTGAGATCCACCCTCACTGGGTCCTCAGAGGAGAGGAAGGCTGGGGAGAGATGGAGGGATGGATGGACCAATCATTTAACAAGTTAGTAAAATAAAGAGAGCATTGGTAAGTTTAAATGGGAAAGGGGGATACCTAGTCAGTTGCACAACTGAATGCATTCAACCGAAATATGTCTTCCCCATTTAACCCAAATCCTCTGAATCAGAGAGGTGCGGGGGGCTGCCTTAATCGATGTCCACGTCATCGGCGCCCGGGGAGAAGTTGTTGTTGTGGGTTAACTGCCTTGCTCAAGGGCAGAACAGGAAATCTTTCCACCTTGCCGTCTCGGGGATTTGAACCAGCAACCTTTCGGTTACTGGCCCAATGCTCTTAACCGCTAAGCTACCTGCCGCCCCATCTCTCCTTACGTGTATTTTTGTCAAGCAAAACTTTTTGTGGAAGGTACTACACTGCGTACAGACCCCCTGCGCAGTCACCGTCCCCCGAGCTACAGTACATCGAGTTTCCTTGTAGGCCTATTTGGCGGGGAAACTGTGAAGCAACCTGTAGCCTATTGCCTGTTTCTATTTGAGTCTTTTGTCAACAAATGTGAAACTGTGTCTATAAACAGTTCATGCGAAAATATTTGGATCTGCTAAAAAGCCGACATTTGATGGTTTCAAATAAGAAAATACATAGAAATGGAAACATTGGGATTTTAGAGACACAAAGTAACAATAGCCTCTATGATGAAAGGGATTGGAGTCAATCTGTTACTGGGGCTTTTACCATCATCATGACTTACATCATTCAAATTCACCAAATCACTTGGTTTAGAAGCCCACTAGGCTATTCATTTGTTGTCATTAAATGTCCTGGATAACAGAAAGGAAATACCTTGGGTGTTCCGTGCAATAGCCTAGGCTATCCTACACAATTGCACACAGTAGCCTAGACTCAGTGTCCTATCCTACACACAGAAACATATGAAAACATTAACTCGTTACCTTGATGCTTTCTCTGTTAAATCTTCTAGACCCTGCTGTAAATCCAGCAGACAAACCAGATAATCAACATAAATGAAGGGGTATTAGATTGAATCCAACTGTTTTCACTGGTGCAATGAACAAGACATCAAAATATTCTGGACATTCTTCCGAACACTGTTTTCCCGCACTGGCTGTTTTTGCATTGCGTGCTATAGGCCTATCACAACAGCTGTTTGTCACTTGACTGTCATTCAGAAAAACATTTCCTGGATCGGCTGATGATGGTCGAAAATATCACTAGGTCTAACTAAACAGCTGGATACCAAATGAGCACCCAACAAGTAGGTTGATTAGCCTACGAATAGCCTATTGAAGAACCACGCAAGTTAGGCACATAATGGGTCGATGGGTTTCGTATTAAGATGATAACATTCACACCTAGCCTACTGGTCAATCAGCTCACAGTCGTCTGGACACTTTCCTATGTGCAGTGCAGGTCAGTCATATTTCCCTCTCCTTTTCATATCCAAAAAAATGCAACTGGTAGCCTATTGATAGACTTTACACAGGCTATTGGTGCCGATCACTATAGCCTAATACTTATTACAAGGTTGAAATCAAATGTATTTATATGTGCACGTATTAAATTAATTAATGTATTAGAAGGCTTATGGATTACATTTTAAGTTATTCGCCCAACCCTGTTTTATTTATTTTGTCTAAAAGGAAGGCAACGAATGCAGGGCATTTTTATTCTGCCCATATAAACTAATTCATATACAACATTCTTCCCATATGAACAAATACAATTTTAGGGCATAAGTGAACACAGGTTTAAACAAGTTTCCCCACAGAGCCATCAGCGTAAATGCGTTGTTCCCCAGCCAGTCGCGCACATGCGGGCGAGGACGAACGACAAAGGAGTTAGCTTCTGCTGCCGCTTTTGCTGTAAAATACAACGCATTGCGGCAGTGCTTCGTCCATCTCCCACCCATGGAGAGACCTACAGTGAGGGAAAAAAGTATTTGATCCCCTGCTGATTTTGTACGTTTGCCCACTGACCAAGACATGATCAGTCTATAATGTTAATGGTAGGTTTATTTGAACAGTGAGAGACAGAATGACAACAAAAAAATCCAGAAAAACACATGTCAAAACTGTTATAAATTGATTTGCATTTTAATGAGGTTAATAAGTATTTGACCCCTCTGCAAAACATGACTTAATACTTGGTGGCAAAACCCTTGTTGGCAATCACAGAGGTCAGACGTTTCTTGTAGTTGGCCACCAGGTTTGCACACATCTCAGGAGGGATTTTGTCCCACTCCTCTTTGCAGATCTTCTCCAAGTCATTAAGGTTTCGAGGCTGACGTTTGGCAACTCGAACCTTCAGCTCCCTCCACAGATATTCTATGGGATTAAGGTCTGGAGACTCCAGGACCTTAATGTGCTTCTTCTTGAGCCACTCCTTTGTTGCCTTGGCCGTGTGTTTTGGGTAATTGTCATGCTGGAATACCCATCCACGACCCATTTTCAATGCCCTGGCTGAGGGAAGGAGGTTCTCACCCAAGACCTTGCATGGAGCCCCAGGCCGAGGGAGATTGACAGTTATTTTGTGTTTCTTCCATTTGCGAATAATCGCACCAACTGTTGTCACCTTCTCACCAAGCTGCTTGGCGATGGTCTTGTAGTCCATTCCAGCCTTGTGTAGGTCTACAATCTTGTCCCTGACATCCTTGGAGAGCTCTTTGGTCTTGGCCATGGTGGAGAGTTTGGAATCTGATTGATTGATTGATTGCTTCTGTGGACAGGTGTCTTTTATACAGGTAACAAGCTGAGATTAGGAGCACTCCCTTTAAGAGTGTGCTCCTAATCTCAGCTCGTTACCTGTATAAAAGACACCTGGGAGCCAGAAATCTTTCTGATTGAGAGGGGGTCAAATAGTTATTTCCCTCATTAAAATGCTAATCAATTTATAACATTTTTGACATGCGTTTTTCTGGATTTCTTTGTTGTTATTCTGTCTCTCACTGTTCAAAAAAACCTACCATTAAAATTATAGACTGATCATTTCTTTGTCAGTGGGCAAACGTACAAAATCAGCAGGGGATCAAATACTTTTTTCACTCACTGTATATACTGTATCTTACCCTCCAGACAGTCTCGGAGGTAGCGAGGCGGGGCAGCTTGGCTCATCTCCTGGTCAGCTGACATATCGTAGGGGGTGAGCTCATCATCACTGGTTCATACACACACATGGGAAGACTCTAAATATAAAACTTCAGTCTCACAGACAACATTATGTTAATACATGTAGTGTATAACAAGAGGTATTACAGAGTGTTATGGGTTTGATTATGATAATGCTATCTCTTACCTATCCAGCTCTGAGTCTGGGTCAGCTCCTGATTTCTGGGCCACGGAAGCAGCCTGGGATGGTACTGCCTGACAGGGTACAGTCTGCCCTTTGACCTCTTGAGGAAGATCCAATCTGTCATCAAGCAGCTCTGTTTCGTCATCAGACAGTGGAGTCATCAGTGAGAGCAGCTCCTTGGTCTCCTCATCCTGCTCATACTGAGGGGGAGAAACACCAATGAACACACACCCTTCCCTGTGTCCTACAGAGGACTCATAAAAAGACAGTCATAGCCTACTGTAGGGGTGCACCTCAATAGTCTACAGCGGCTTCCTCTATCTCCTTTCTTCAATTTGCACTGATCTGAACAGTAGATAAGCATTATGGTTTTTGTTTTCACCCGTCCAGTTTATTCAGATCAGAATGACCAGAGAACAGAATATAGTGACATTGTGCCACTTCAGACTATTGAGATGCACCCAAAACCTTGGGTAAGGTGCCATACTGTACTGTACCTCGAATTTGAGCTTGGCTCCGTTGACGTCCATGCGGGAGCTGAGACACTCCCCCACCACCATGCCCATGCGCCTCACACGCACTACACTGCTGTCCAGGTGGCTCTGCATCCCTCCCAGCATGCACTGCAGCAGCTCTGACAGGGAGGAAGGAGAAAGGACATCAGGGTCATGTTCATTAGGCACCAAACGGAAGAAAACAGACTAAATCAGGGTGGGACTACATGGACACGTCCTATAACAGTAGCTCATTGTTGTTTTCCGTAGGAAAATATTTTCTATTACATGCCCAAATGAACAAAACCCAGAGGCGGACAGGTCAGAAAGTAGTGTGAACAGAACTGATCGTGTGCCGTAGTGTTGGGAGTGTTACCCGAGCGTAGCGCCTGTAGCTCTGCATCACTCAGTAGTCCCACACACAGCAGCAGAGCCCGGCTCACATAGAGCTGCTGCTCCAGAGGGGTGTGTCTGACTGCACTGGGGTTGGCCCAGGCCTGGCACAGTGACCGCAGCACCTGGACACACACACACACAGTCAACAACATTATCATAAATACCCATATATCATCACAACACAAGTCTTATACGTTGTACACTCACCTGTATAAGTAGTGGCCTTCTCTCCCTGTCCTTAGCCAGGTAGCCCAGAATAATACTCAATACACGAGTCTGGGAGAAAGGAAGTTAAAGACTTCAGCTATAACAGAAGCTTTTTCAATTTCCAACAATGATAGATTGACTAGACTCATAGTACAGAATGAATGACTGACTTCCCAGTTCACCATCAGTTCACCGTCTCACCTCATACTTGTATTGGAGCAGAAGCAGTTTATGGGTGATGACAAATTGGGCCTTTTTGTTCTTCAACACCAGGTTCCCCATGATCCTGGACAGAGCATCAGGTCTAGGGGAAAAATAACACTTACATTACGAGAGAAAGAGAGGAGCAAAGACGGTGTATTAAAAAGTCTGTTTTTGACACCTTTTGATAATTTCTAGCTATCTTCCATCCCTCACCCGTTGACAGCCTGCACCAGCCCAGTGAGCACGCTCTCCAGCCACCGCTCTGGGACGTTCTCCAGCAGTTTCCAGCACACCCTCTGCCACACCATGTCTGAACGCGTGCAGGAGGAGAGGCGAGGGGCCAGCACCCCAAATACTAACCCTGCAGAGAGAGACACACAATTATGTAACCTTTCTGATGAAACAATGGGAAAGCGTTGCAGTTGACAATCATCAATGCAGGAGGAACACATACTGTTTGCAGCCTTGCTTACCACTGTGTCCCTGAACACAGGCCTTCCCCAGTGTCTGGGCCACAAAAGTCAGGGAGCAGTCTTTTCCATCTGGGAACAACAGTGTATTGACAGTGAGTTACACACATAATAACATACATTTCCGATAAAACAGTTAAAGTTAAAACAGCCATGAATAGGCCCTTAATCAGAATGTACTGTACTATATGTAAAAATGTACCATCTTCTGCATTAGATAAAGTAGACAAACTGATGGATTGGCATACAAACCTCTCAGAGCTTGACAGGTTCTCTCTAGCACGGTGAGCATATCTCTGGCCAATAGGGGGTAGTACTGCTGGGGGAAGAAGAGGGTCTTGTTGTGGTGGTGCAGCTGGTTGGCAGTCAGGTCAGGCAGAGCCACCAGGCGACCCAGCAGAGTCTCTCTGAGCTGGGGAGAGTCGGAGGGACCGTTCCCCTGACAGCGGGACCACAGTAGGACTGTCAGGCGACCACTCTGAAGGAACCGCTCTAGGATGCTGACTAAACGGTCCAGACCTGCACTGGGGCTGCTTGAGATAGACGATCACACACATTCATGCACACAACACACACACACACAGCGAGAATCAGAGAAACGTAAAGGATGAGTATATCATTACCACACAGGTTGCCAGCGGTAAAGACACAGTTCTTTATAGTATCAAGTAGCCCATTATAATGACTGTCAATGCATTGTAATGCATCAATGTCAATTTACCTTCCTGTCTTGCTGTCGCAGGGAATGTGTAAACAGCCCAGACACTCTGTTTAAACATTAACAATCCTCACTTGCAATATGGTTTTGGAAATGTAATATTATTGAGATTTTTTTTCATTTCTTTTAAAGGTACAGTTACTGGACATCGTTTTAACACAAATCCCACACCGCCATATTTCCATGTTACACCAACTTTCCAGCTTGTTTACGGAACAGAGGCAAACGCCTGTTCTCATTAGCTATCCAGCATCTCTGAACGCCTATGTGTAACGGAAGAAAGCCAGAAAAATATAACTGAAAAATACTGTCAGCTGCAACTGTTTAAAAGGTGTACAGTAAGTGTATATTTTATATTTGTAAAATTATTAAGTTAACTTCCAAAGGTTTCCAAAACCGACTTGCATTATTAACATTTAGACATGGTTAGAATGAGTATGGGTAAGCCCCTTGGATTCTTGAGGACTAAGTATCCACTATTAACATATTCAAACATGTTTCTCACCTCATTGAGCTGATACCATCCATAAGCACTAACAGAGTCTGGTCTGGAGGACCTCTGAGGAACAAACCATCCCACAATTCTGTGCACTGGGCAACGGTAAGAAGATGGAGCCAATCAGCATTGATGTTACTGATGAGAAACTGTAGGGTCCGGGTGTAGTGGGCTCGACTGAACTCTGCTCGCTGAGCTGAGGTGATTGTACTCTGAGGACCATCGTCCAGGTAACTGGTTAGTGTGTGTAGAGTTTTGGTCACCTCCTCCTTCTCTTTGGAGGTAGTGAGAGTTCGGACGCATTGGCCCACTGAGAGTCGAACTTCAACATCTGGGGTTAGGGACTGCATCATTCACCAGCACCTGCTGGGGACCAGATTAGTTTATATAGTTCACGTGGTCCACCACTACTTTCAAATCACAGCTAGAGAGCTAGCTACCTACCGAGCTGCTAGGTACGTAAGAAATGCATAAAATCTGGTAACAGCATCATGAGATTTTACTTAGCTAGCTAACTACTGACAGCCCAATCCCATAATTGCTATTATTGGACCAATTAACTACTGACATTCACACAGACGTCAATAGAAGAGGTCCCATGTTGGGATACTGATGAAAGACAATACATTAGGCACTCACCTGAATGTTTAGCTTGCTAGCCAGTAGCCACCGTTAGCCAGGCTAACAGGTTGAATTCCCACACCTCTGGTCTACTCACCGGGTGATAAACTACACATTTGAAACGGTTTCAAGCTGTGAATTAATGTAAATTAACAAATACTACAGCCCAAAACAAACTAAGATTCAAATTGCTTTAAAAACTCCATTTATTCTTCTAGCTAGTCTTAGCTACTTTTTCACAATACAAAAAAGTATCGCCTGCTGCGCTAAATGAGTGCGCTAACAAAATATGTCCGTACTGAATAAAAGTACGCACTGTGTATCAAGAAACGTTCCGTGTAAGGACTTTTGAGTAACATTCAACAGTCCAACATATTTGTAACAAGTCAGACTTTTTATTCAGAATTTTATTCTGTGTGAACCTGAATTGAAAACATTAATAAACATACCGGTGCAATTTAGTAAAAGCAATGTTCAACATCCAGAGGAAGGTGGCTACTTTCCACAACATAAAGCTCAATATTGTACTAAATATGTTTTATTGTACAAGCCTCTCCTAGCCCTAACAGACAAAGTGGCCAAACTGGCCAAGAGGAATAGGACTGCTGTACAGCTGTGCTAGGAATGATCCTTCACTCCAGTATCTCTCCTCCTCAGAACTGTCGAATGATGCCAGAATATCTTCTATCTCCTCCTTCCAAAGCACATCCATCCTCGGGTTCCTTTCCATGAACCGTTGGGCTGTTAACCGCACACTGCCCAAGCCTATCCCAACCACAGGGACCACTGGTATACCTGCCACCATCATGGCTACCATCAGAGGACACACAGGACCTAGCTGTTCCAACACCCGCTTGTCATAGGTGGGGGTTTGTGGTACCTTTATCGGTGGTGGCGACCATAGAGCCCCCCGATACTGCATGGTTTGGTAGTGATCTCCATGGGACAAGGGATAATTGTAGAAGTTCCCATACTGTTGCTCAGTATGAGAGGATGGTGTATAGCCAGTATAGCTAAGACTTTGCTGTTCCCAGGGGGCAGAGGGTTGTTGTGGGCTCTGGTAGTACATGTCCATTGCCTGCAGGTGGGTATGATGGGTTGGTGATGAAGGGCTCCAGTATTGATACGGCTGATAGTGGAAAAAGGCAGGGACCTGGCTGGGGAGGTTCTGCGAATGGAAAAGGTATCCATGGTACAGCGGCGTGGGGGATAGAGGGGGAAAGGCTTCCTCTGAATAGAATGGACGACACAAGAGAGCTGTATTAGACAAAGTTGTTGTTTTTCATCCAGAACCTAGACATATAGGCTACTGTTAATTACCTGAAGATAATACTTGGCAAATTTTAGAAAGCCTGTACAATTTACAAAGGAACTTACCATTTGAGTTCTCTCTTGTCACATAGAGGGACATTCTTTTTTTAATCTGGTAAAATAAAACACTGGATTTGCAGCAAAATTATGTGAGAAAATTGATTACTGGTACAATTCTCCAATAAGCAGCAATCCAGGAAATATAATTGTCTATATCACAAATACTATTGGTCAAGACACTTCAAAGGATACTGCATTCTTTCTCCATGGAAACCACATCCTTACCCTGGTTACGAGATACCAGTGTCTTCTTCATTATGTAGGTCTTAATTTTTGTATTTTATTAAAACAACAACAATACAAATGGCCGATCCCATCGGTGGGTGCTCTGGTCAGTAGGTGCGCGCATATGCCTTCATGTATGCTGTATCTAGTAAATGGAAATGTGATGAGCGATATTATACAAAATATGAAGTTCAAACAAAATATCATTTTATTATTTGATTTATTTTCTTATCTTCTTACTTCATTGTTTTCTTTGACCTTTTTACAATGATTTGAAATTATAATTCCCCAATCACAATAAGCAGGGGCGCAACTTTGGTTTTAGAAGAGGGGGGGACATAAAATATTATTTTATCCAGTCAGATAAACACTAATCAGCCTCCCCGACGCTCGGAGGCGTCCGCATGGTCCTAAAGCACACCATTGCCTCGTTTCGTACACATTTACATTTTAGTCATTTAGCAGACGCTCTTATCCAGAGCGACTTACAGTTAGTGAGTGCATACATACATGTTTTTTTTTTTTTTTTTTTTTCATACCCCCCATGGGAATCAAACCCACAACCCCATGCTCTACCAGTTTTAGCATTCCAATGCTAAAACTGGGGGGGACAAAAATGCAATTTCAGAATATGGGGGTAGGTGGGTGGGGGGGCATGTCACCCCCCACCCCCCAGTGAAAGTTGCACCCCTGACAATAAGGATTACATCTTTCAGGGGATATTCAATGAAAAATATACAGCAGTAAACAATACTGGTATCATAATAATAATAATAATAATAATAATATGCCATTTAGCAGACGCTTTTATCCAAAGCGACTTACAGTCATGCGTGCATACATTTTTGTGTATGGGTGGTCCCGGGGATCGAACCCACTACCTTGGCGTTACAAGCGCCGTGCTCTACCAGCTGAGCTACAGAGGACCACAATCATAATGTATACATTATCCTTCGGAGTAAGAATAAACTTCAGTTGTACAACTTTTGTTTCTACAATATTCAAAAAATTTTCTCCTTCCTATGTCATTTAAATGGCAAGCCATGCACTACTTCAGTAGTGATGTTTGTGCCTTGAGCAAAACTTTCTTTGGACATTGGACGCTAATGTGAGAGCAAAAGTTCACAATTTATATACACATTAAAGTTTTTATAATTATAATTTAACAAACTGACAGTCACATAAGGTCAGTACTTTCCCAGGGCTCATCATCAAGTTAGTAAGAGGCAAAAGTATGAGAGACAGAGGCACAGTGTTAAGACTAGCAGGCCAGTTCTTCAGGGCAGCGTTGGGCTTAGCAATGACAATGAATAACTTTTTTGTTTATGTTTTCAAATTACAGCGAAGGAGAGTGTGTGAGCCGATAGTTAAAATGGTCAGTTAGAAGTAAAACCTACTTCTTTGGTCAGTTTGAAAATGTGGGGGTTAAAAATCAATTGGAACTTGTTTAAAGTGCATAAGAGAATCCCATTGAATCAAGTTTAACCCTGCAAAAGGGAATGCCTGGACAGGACTCTGTCTAATCAGTCAGCTAGCAATCATGCAAAGTCTCACAACTAGCTGTCTGAACTAGACAGTCTGAAATAAAGAAGGAAACAAGGAATAATACAATAACAAAAAATAGGGTAATCCTACTGCTGTATCCAGGTAATATCTTACGGTATCCTCCTAGTAATGCACCACTGGCTGCTGGGTACTGTAGTAGTAAATGATTAGCTGAAGCCTCGTGAGCCTCATATCTGCTGGGGAAAGCCATCAATTACACTCAAAGGCAGAATTACTTGAATCAATTAGACAGTGGCATTGGTTTATGATTGACAGAATGTGTAGTTCAGCCCTATGTGGGCTGGCTTTATGAGACCTCACTACCTGTCCCCAGGCATCAGGCATAGTGCAACTCCACTGACGTCCATATGATATGGATGAGTCAACCTAATGAAGATTCAGAAAGTGATATGCAGAAGAGATCAGTAGTTATGTACAGTGCCTGTTCTCAGCTGGGGAAATAACTGAGTTGGCATGTGTCACTGATGTTAACCTTTAAGAGGTCACTGTCTGCAACCACAGCATTACAGTGGATCACACTTCAGTGGGGCTGAAGTGGAATGACCACACCATATAAAAAGCCATTTTGAATTGATCAGACCAGACTGAAACACATCACTGTTGCCAAGTCAATGGGTACTCAATACAACACTTTTGAAATGTACTGTGTGCTACCTTGAGTACAAGACAACAATTTAAATCTCTAAATATTTCTCTCAATTCAACAATTTCCCCCCTTGAGTAGCATTCAACCATTAAATACCAGAAACCTTTGTGAATCCAGAAATGCCCAAACTATTTACAAACTTTTCCCTAAAAGACAACTTATATTAGAGAGAAACAACGGAGCAGAATCATTAACAAAGTGTGAAGTATGTAAATATATGTATGTGATTCACAGATGGGAGAAAATGATGTATACGCGCTACATGCTATAGTGGCATACACAATACCTACCCATGGGGGAGGATCATATTATTTCTTAGCATAAGACCAAAAAAGAAAAGAAAATAACAATTCTCTTTTCTTCCTCAACTATAAAAATACCTAGAATCTACAAGGTTAGAAAAAAACTTGACATGTACAAGTTATTTACATCCAAGGCCATTTTTTCATGGAGCGCTGAAAAGGAGAAAAGCGTAGTGACAGAGCAAGAGTTTTATAGGTGGTAGAAGGTGGAAGAGGCTGCATTTGTTTTTAGTATTGCTACGTTGGTTGATACAGTATGCCATGCTGTCCATTTCTTTTACCCAGGGACAAACTACAAGCTGTCTGCAGTTCCAGCAGTTAAGAGACAGCACCTGTAATATCCTTCAATATGTCAAGTATCTCAACAGTCTCAGAGTGCATTGGTGAATAGGCAGCACTGATGATGTGTATCAATAGTCTGCCATTTTCATTTCCTCTTGCTTATGTCCAGAAATGTGGTTAAAAGTTCAGGAGATTCAGATTGGGGCTTAGTCAACTGAGGCTCTTACAGTAAAGAAGAGAGTTTTGTCAGTTTGTTGACATCTGTTTGTGAGGTCTGTCCATCGCTCCCCACTGTTCTTCACAACGTTATTGCTTCATCGAAGTGTTAAACATTTTCTTTTAAATAAAAAAGCTGTGGGAGAGTAACAAGATCCAAAACGATTTTAAACTCTCCCTTAGCCACAAGTAAGTCAGTTTTCAAATAATTTCAGTATTCTTAAGTAATTCATTGTGGTCTTAAAACAAGAGATATCTTCAAATTAGGATTACATTCCTTCACAATCAACTTTTTTTTAAAGTTTTTTTTTTACAAACACTACTTTTTGTCTTCATCAAAAAACAAATGAGTGCAAAAATACAACCGATTCCATTCTTTCAATAAGACAAGTCAAATATATTCAGCTTTTTTAGTCTTAACATTTTCACGGAAAGTAAGTCACTTTTTATTGGTAACAAGCAGACCAGACATGTACTTCCCACTGGATAAGATGGCTCCCTTTTTGCTTTCACTCAGCAAGAGTCCACTAAGGATCAGTTGGGTCTGACACACTCCAAAGAACTACACTTCCTAGTGCACTAAGTGCAAATACAAAAATACAAACTAGTCAGAGCAACATTTTCTCTCAATTTGATGTAGTGTCTAAGTTACACCATCCAACTCTTTAATGTCAGTATGAGCATCATTTAGGTCAGTATCTTTATCAGTATCCGTTTTTAACTACCCCAAAGTCAGAGCTTACATTAGAGGGAGTGATGTGATGGAGAAGTGTTCTCTTATTGGAGTATTTAGCTCACCTGACCCCCTAAGACTCTGTTTCATTGTAAAAACAAATGGAGATGCAGTAAACAATAAGCCACCCAGTTTCACTGTGGAGACATTGAGGCTCACAAGAATGAACATGCCATTCGTGTTACTACCATTGTAGTCACCAAACCTTTTTTCAAAACCATATATTGCAAGCAACACACAACGCAAAGGAATGTAAAACACTACATCCACACAAGCATGCGCCCGCACACACACCCACTAACCCTCAGGTCATTTCTCATCCTCTACCCCAGGAAATGTCCCTCACCTGGGTTGCCTTAACTCACACTGGGAAAATAATCAAAGTCAAATCAGGATAAAGACTCACACTGCAAACGTGACACGGTTAATGTAGCAGGCAGCACGGCAAGTTTGTATTCAAGAGAGCAGCCAGGGTCGACTTCATCTGACCTCGTCTCCTGACCAGTGCTTCATACGGTTTAAACGTGGTTTAAACACGGTTCAGTCTAATTCAGGAGAACGCTGCCAAACATCCTATGAGTTCATTCATTTACTGATCTCATGGTGAAAGATGGTATAGGCTGATATGTAGTTTAAGGACAATACGTTTTAGAACCAAGTTAGCGTTGAGGCTCATAAGATATAATTGGCCAAAATATGTTTAAGGGGACAGCAACAAGTTAATCAGCTCTTCCATGCAGTCACACTCTCGAAAGAGTTTGTGCATAGAAAACATATTCGCACACACAAGGGAAACTCAGGTCCCTATACCCAAATGCAGCGAAGTCATCAAAACCTAAGCCTGCTGTATTCAGGGGGAACAGACACGCACACAAAGCAAAGCTCAAATCCCAGGGATGTTAAACCATGTAGCTTGTAACAGCCACAAACAGTGACAAAAAATAAATTGATAAATCCTATTTTTTCAATTTCTTTAAAAATCTTCTTTAAGGGTAATTGGAGTGTTTTTTCTCTCCACCTAATATAGCTATATATACACACAGTATACTATATACACACACAGTATACTAATATATATATATATATATATATATATATATATATATATATATATATATATATATATATATATACACACACACACACACACATTACCGTTCAAAAGTTTGGGGTCACTTAGAAATGTCCTTGTTTTCCATGAAAACATACATGAAATTAGTTTGAATAGGAAATATAGCAAAATGCATAGGAAATGTAGTCATTCACAAGGTTAGAAATGATTTTAAATGGAAATAATAATTGTGTTCTTCAAACTTTGCTTTCGTCAAAGAATCCTCCATTTGCAGCAATTACAGCCTTTCAGACCTTTGGCATTTTAGTTGTCAATTTGTTGAGGTAATCTGAAGAGATTTCACCCCATGCTTCCTGAATAACCTCCCACAAGTTGGATTGGCTTGATGGGCACTTCTTATGTATCATACGGTCAAGCTGCTCCCACAACAGCTCAATAGGGTTGAGATCCAGTGACTGTGCTTGCCACTCCATTATAGACAGAATACCAGCTGACTGCTTCTTCCCTAAATAGTTTTCCATAGTTTGGAGCTGTGCTTTGGGTCATTGTCCTGTTGTAGGAGGAAATTGGCTCCAATCAAGCACCGTCCACAGGGTATGGCATGGCGTTGCAAAATGGAGTGATAGCCTTCCTTCTTCAAGATCCCTTTTACCCTGTACAAATCTCCCACTTTACCACCACCAAAGCACCCCCAGACCATCACATTGCCTCCACCATGCTTGACATATGACATCAAGCACTCCTCCAGCATCTTTTCATTTGGTCTGCGTCTCACAAATGTTCTTCTTTGTGATCCGAACACCTCAAACTTCAATTCTTCTGTCCATAACACTTTTTCTCCAATCTTCCTCTGTCCAGTGTCTGTGTTCTTTTGCCCATCTTAATCTTTTATTTTTATTGGCCAGTCTGAGATATGGCTCTTTCTTTGCAACTCTGCCTAGGTCAGCATCCCGGAGTCGCCTCTTCACTGTTGACATTGAGACTGGTGTTTTGCGGGTACTATTTAATGAAGCTGCCAGTTGAGGACCTGTGAGGCGCCTGTAATCGAATCCACAATTGCTGATGCTCCAGATACTCAACTAGTCTCAAGAAGGCCAGTTTTATTGCTTCTTTAATCAGCACAACAGTTTTCAGCTGTGCTAACATAATTGCAAACGGGTTTTGTAATGATCAATTAGCCTTTTAAAATGATAAACTTGGATTAGCAAACACAACGTGCCATTGGAGCACAGGACTGATGGTTGCTGATAATGGGCCTCTGTACACCTATGTAGATATTCAATTTTTTTTTTAAATCAGCCGTTTCCAGCTACAATAGCCATTTACAACATTAACAATGTCTACACTGTATTTCTGATCAATTTGATGTTATTTTAATGGACAAAAAAATTGCTTTTCTTTCGAAAACAAGGACATTTCTAAGTGACCCCAAACTTTTGAACGGTAGTGTATATACATACATATACACACACACACACACACATATATATACACACACACACACACATACATACATACATACATACACACACATATTTGTGGTCAGTCTCAGTAGCCAGTCTAAGTGTTTAGCCAGTCTCTCTCAGTATGGCAGTCCAGTGAGGCGGAGAGGCCGCCAGGCTGCCCTGTTCCAAGATGGCCGTCTCTAGTACTTGACCTCCAGCATGGAGGGGTTGGACTCCATGATGGCCACGATGATGCGGTCGATGTAGTCCTGTAGTCGGAAGTTGACGTCCTCCTGCTTGCGGATGGCCTCCATCAACTGCAAACAACAAAACAGATCAAATGTTTAGAAGGATAGTAACTTATATGAACTTTTCATTTGCATTGAACAATTATTCAAGAAGGTAAAAAGGGACACAAGACATACGATACAGATTTCAGCTATTTACATTTAAGATTCAGAATTTTGATGGGGGCCGTAATATGGGCACCAGAAGTTGTAAGAAATGTATTTTATTCCATCTTTATTCATCAAAGTTAGTCTCACTGAGATATACAGTATATTTATGGCCTGTATATCAATGCATAGTCTTCTCTGTATATCTAGTGCCTTCAGAAAGTATTCACACCCCTCGACTTTTTCCACATTTTGTTGTTAAAAAAGTAGGATTAAAATGGATGTAATTGTCATTTCGTGTCAACGATCTACACAACATACTCTGCAATGTCAAAGTGGAAGTTATAAAAAATGTAATAAATGTACAAAAAAATAAAACACTAATATATCTTGATTAAATAAGTATTCAACCCTCAGTCAATACAGCTGTGAGTCTTTCTGGGTATGTCTCTAAGAGCTTTCCACACCCATTATTATTTTTCAAAAGTCTTCAAGCTCTGTCAAATTGGTTATTGATCATTGCTAGCAGATTTAAGTCAAAACTGTAACTCAGCCACTCAAGAACATTCACTGTCTTCTTGGTAAGCAACTCTAGTGTAGATTTGGCCTTGTGTTTTAGGTTATTGTCCTGCTGAAAGGTTCATTAATCTCCAAGTGTATGGTGGAAAGCACACTGAAACTGGTTTTCCTCTAGGATTTTGCCTGTGCTTAGCTCCATTCCGTTTATTTTTTATCCTGAAAAACTCCCCAGTCCTTAACAATTACAAGCATACCCATAAGATGATGCAGCCACCACTAAGCTTGAAAATATGGAGAGTGGTACTCAGTAATGTGTTGTATTGGATTTGCCTCAAATAGAACACTTTGTATTCAGAACAAAAAGTGAATTATTTGCAGTAATACTTTAGTGCCTCGTTGCAAACCGGATGCATGTTTTAGAATATTTGTATTCTGTACAGGCTTTCTACCTCCCCACTCTGTCAATTAGGTTAGTATTGTGGATTAACTACAATGTTGTTGATCCATCCTCAGTTTTCTCCTATCACAGCCATTAAACTCTGTAACTGTTTTAAAGTCACCACTGGTGTTTCCTTCCCGTCCAGCAACTGAGTTAGGAAGGATGCCTGCATCTTTGTAGTGACTGGGTGTATTGATACACCATCCAAAGTGTAATTAATAACTTCACCAAGCTGAAAGGGATATTCAATGTCTGTTTTTAAAAATATATATATATCTACCAATAGGTGCTTTTCTTTGCGAGCCATTGGAAAACCTCCCTGGTCTTTGTGGTTGAAACTGTGTTTAAAATTCACTGCTTGACTTAGGGACCTTACAGATAATTGTATGTGTGGGGTACAGAGATGATGTAGTCATTCAAGTCCATGCAATTTATTATGTGACTTGTTAAGCAAATGTTTAGTCCTGAACTTATTTAGGCTTGCCATAACAAAGGAGTTGAATACTTATTGGCTCGAGACATTTCAGCTTCTCATTCTTTATTAATTTGTAAACATTTCGAAAAACATAATTCCATTTTGACATTATGTTGTATTGTGTGCTGGCCAGTGACCAAAAAATCTAAATTTCATACATTTTAAATTCAGGCTATAACACAACAAAATGTTGAAAAAGTCAAGGGGTGTGAATACTTTCTGAAGGCACTGTATATGTGCATCTACTGTCTACTATCTATATTGTGACTCACCTCTCCCCGGGACACAGAGTTGATCTCGGCCGCCAGCGACTCGGAGAAGGAGGCCGTCACCAGATTCTTGGCTCCCTGGATGCTCAGGTTGATGATCTGGCCGTTCAGCTCGTCGTTCTGCTCCTTCAGACTGCGGTTGTCTTGCTTAAGGCGTCGGATCTCCTGCTCCAGCTCGGCCTCGCGGGTGCGGCTCTGGTACTCCTGCAGCCCGGCGCTGGGAGAGCGCCCCCTCCTGGCTTCCGCCTCCAGCTTGTATAGCTGCAGGTGCTCCAGCTGCTTCCGCAGGTCCTCAATCAGCTGGTTGAGGGAGGGGAGAGAGAGACTGCTGTTAGAGAGAGATACCGCAATAGTCTATTCTGCAAGAGCAACTAGTCACAAACCGTTGGAGGGGTTGGTTGAAAGAAAAATAAAACAATTGTAGGTATCCTTTTTTACTAGGGCTCTCAAACGATTTAAATAAATGCGATTAATCACATGATTTTCTATGGTTAATCACGATTAATCACAATTTTTGAATTTGCTCAAATTTGTCCCTAAAGGAAGGCATACTTTTATTGTAAGGGACGGAAACACAAAATAATCTCTATCAGAAACAAAATGCTCCCAATGTTTAAGTAGGCCTACTCCCTGTTATCAATGTTCTTGAAGTTAAACATTTCTCATGCGCACACACACACACACACACACACACACACACACACACACACACACACACACACACACACACACGTACTGTTAAAGCTTCAGGCATTCTAAATGAGTGTTCTCCCAATTTCTGATTGGAAGATTACCTATAGGAAAAAAAAGAACTGGCTCTATGGATACAAAGAGCATTTCAACCTGTCCAACAATATTATGAATTCCACAGACGACAATAACAACAGATCAGCCAGAGGGGTATACTATGATTGAAGCTAGATCTACTCAGGGTTTTCTAAAGTTAGCCAGCTTCAGTTAGCTTCACGTTCAAGCTCAGGCTTAATCCACACTACGGCGGTGGATATTCCTTGTCCGGCTGCTGCTAACTCTAGCAGGCTTGTAACTGTGCATGCATTGAGACAATGCTGAAACATCAATCAATGGGCGGGTCAGCGCCACATTTTAATTTGTGCTGAAATCAAAATGAAAGAAAAGTTATCTTGCAAATTCAGCAGGCTATGGTGTGAAATAGGCTTGTTGAAGTGCCGTCTTTATTTTATTACTTATCGTTAATGCCGTCTTTGGTGTGCTTTGGTATGCTTATCAATGTACAAGCACCTTTTTTGAAATAATTGTATTAAGTCATACACAAGTTTTACTGTGCGTGAAGTTTCTGTCATTACTAAATGTGAAATGTGATAGGTATTTTAACTTTATCTTTTTAATTAAAAAAACTTCTGAAGGTAATTGGTTGCACCAGATCTTATTTAGGGGCTTCTTAGCAAAGGGGGTGAATACATATGCACGCACCAGTTTTCCGTTATTTATCTTTTAGAATTTTTTTAAACTAGTAATTTTTTTCATTTCACTTCACCAAGTTGGACTATTTTTGTGTATGTCCATTACATGAAATCCAAATAAAAATCTATTTAAATTACTGGTTGTAATGCAACAAAATAGGAAAAACACCAAGGGGGATGAATACTTTTGCAAGGCACTGTATAAAGAGGCATTCAGTGATGACCATGTTTAACATTAGTTTGGTTAACGTTAGCATAACCAGTGCTTAATATATGTGCCAGATCCTGCCGGAACAGGATCTGGCACCTCTCAGATTTGACCTAATTTGTTCTGGCACCTATTTGCCCAGCTACGGTACCTCACGCTGAATTATTTATACAATTTGTTCACTGTTTGCACTGTAATATGTTTTTCAAAAAGTGATCGGAGTTAAATCAAGTTCCCTCTCTGCTCCGATAGACATGAGCCTGAACTCTCATCTCTCAAGCGTTGCACTTAAATCATTTATTTAGACTATATGCTGTAGGCCACCAAAATATTTGATCAACTTCCAAATATTGTTTTACAAAAGAGAGAGAGATAGGCTTTTGGCACGAGTGCATCGGCCATCACCAGTGAGTGAGCTGCGCATCATTGGGTGAGTCAGTGAAACTGGAAAGGATTTTTAGGACTATTATTTCCTTCTCATATTGTAGCCTACAATATGTGCCTCCACACACCTAGGCCTAGACAATTGATGGATTCAAGACAAGGTCATTTTTATTGATCTCTGATTCTCAGTTTGTCATCGTCAAAGTAGCCTGCCATTTCGATCATTTGTGTTTATAAAAAGGTCAAAACTTTCTTCGGACATAATGCTACTAAAAATGTGCCCCATGTGTGCAACTTCTGTAAGTGCCTCTACTCTACTGCTCTATGCCACTACGCAAAAGCGATGATTTAAATACAATGATTTATTATAAAGGATTTTTTTTTTTTTTTAATGCATTCTGGTACCTCAGAACTCCCCAGGTCATCCCCTTCTCATGCTCACTGTTTGTTTCGGCACCTCCCGATTTTCAAATTAAGCACTGAGCATAACTAGCTAGCTACTTCTGTACAAATGATGCTTTTGCGGTTATCTAAAGAAACACCTGGGAATGTGTTTATCGTTAACTTTCAGTACGTTTTTCTTGTTGCTCAAAGACGTGCATTTAGTGAATGTTTAAGCACCACAGTCAGACAGACATCGCTACATAACAGAAGCTGCTGCCAGCGAGTGAACGCTGTGTTGTGTGTTGCGCTTAATAGAGTCCGTGCAGAAACACTTGCTTAAAAAGGGTTGATACGGTGAAGCAATGGAGATGCGATTAACGGCATCAAAATAATTACCTACATAAAAAAATGTAACGTGTTAACGTTAACAGCCCTATTTATTTATTTTATTTCTTCTACCCAGCAGATGAAAAATAACGAAAGCCAAAAGGAACCCTAATCCCACTCATTGACAGAGCAAAACTAGTACAGTGGGTTACGATGTACAGGTGTGACCTCATGACCTCTCACCTCCTGCGTGTGTTCCTTCTCCTTCTGGTTCTGGTGGCGCTCGTGGGTCAGCTTGTCGGAAGTCTTCCTGCGGGTTTCCAGCTCCTCGTTCAGCCTCTCAGTCGCATCCTCCACCTCATCCTCTAGCTTCCTCTTCTCCTAATGGGCAAACAAGAGGAAGGAGGGGTGAGAGATACAGTGAGCTTCAAAAGTATTGAGACAGTGACAATTTGTTGGTTGTTTTGGCTCTGTACTCCAGCACTTTGGATTTGAAATGATACAGTGACTATGAAGTTAAAGTGCAGACTGTCAGTGTTACCAGCCTCAGTCTGTAGCTGAGATGGTCTGTAATAGTAAAGAGAACAGACACAAGTTTACATCTGCAAAGTTCTGGCCCTTTCTTTATTCTGAATAATGTTTTTTCTCTTGTTCTTACTTTGAAAAACATTCACATCAAACAAGTGCACAACATAAATGCACTTTACCTAAAGCAGAATTCAAAAATGTTCCACAAATAACCTTGTCTTACTGTATAATTTCACATGAAAACCAAAATGTACTTCACATTCATACAATAGAAACACATATATAAAGACAAAAATAAATGACAGTTTTTCTATATACCTATACCAATATAGAAAACTGCCAATACATTCAGCTTTAAGATAGTAGCATCTCACTAAAATCGTCTCCCTCTCATGCACCCGCACTACGTGCGCGGCGAGTTTACCAGCTCGTGAGCCCAATTTTACACAAAACCAATAACATGTTAAACGAACTCAGAAATCCCTAACAAATGGATTCTTTATAAAATCTCCTAGACAAAATTCAGTACAAGTAAGCTAATCAGTAAACGGTCTCTGTGACTTTACCTCTGCTAGCATCAAGCTAACATAAATCCAGTACAAGCTACTCAGTCAACAGTCTCTGTAACTGCTAGCATCAAGCTAACATATACTCTCACTCATTGTAACGCACGTTCTTCTCTCTCAGTTCGACACAAAAAACAACACCAAACCTTTCCTAGCGTGATAACACCTTGACAAAGTTGTTTAATAGCATGTTATTACATATTCTCTGAAGTTCTGTTACATACCTGTAATAGTAAAGAGAACGGACAAGTTTACATCTGCAAAGTTCTGGCGCTTTATTTATTCTGAAGAATGGTGCGCGCTTGGTTGTTTCTCCTACTACCACAGTGCAACAGCGCCATCTATTGGCATGATGGACTACTAATGCTCAAGCATGTAGAGTACATCATTTAGATTAATTAAGACAAAAAAACGAATTGGTTAAAAAAAGGGGTATCTGTTTTTAGTGACTTTATTTTCAACCCATTACATTAGCTTTAATTTAAAGGTATTTTCATCCATATCGGGTGAACCGTTTAGAAATTATTTAACTTTTTGTGAATAGTCCCCCCTATTTTAGGGGACCAAAAGTATTGGGACAAATTCACTTATGCATATTAAAGTAGTAAAAAGTTATGTACTTGGTCCCATATTCATAGCAGGCAATGACTACATCAAGCTTGTTGGATGAATTTGCTGTTTGTTTTGGTTGTGTTTGAGATTATTTTGTGCCTAATAGAAATGAATGGTAAATAATGTATTGTGTCATTTTGGAGTCACTTTTATTGTAAATAAGAATAGAATATGTTTCTCAAAACTTCTACATTAATGTGGATGCTATCATGATTACGGGTAATCCTGAATGAATTGTGAATAATATTGGGTGAGAAAATTACAGACGCACAAATATCATACACCCAAATAAATTCTAACCTCACCTGTTATTGTAATGGTGAGAGGTTATCATGTCTTGGATGTATGATATGTGTGTCTCTATATATACAGTGCCTTCGGAAAGAATTCAGACCCCTTGACTTTTTCCACATACAGCCTTATTTTAAAATTGATTAAATAAATACAAATCCTCTGCAATCTGCACACAATACCCCATAATGACAAAGCGGAAACAGGTTTTTAGAAATGTTTGCACATTTATAAAATAAAAAAACGGAAATATCACATTTACATGAGTATTCAGATCCTTTGCTATGAGACTCGAAATTGAGCTCAGGTGCATTTTGTTTCAATTGATCATCCTTGAGATGTTTCTACTTGATTGGAGTCCACCTGTGGTAGATTAAATTGATTGGACATGATTTGGAAAGGCACACACCTGTCTATTTAAGCTCCCACAGTTGACATGAGGTCAAATGAATTGTCCGTAGAGCTCCGAGACAGGATTGTGTCGAGGCACAAATCTGGGGAAGGGTGTCTGCAGCATTGAAGGTCCCTAAGAACACAGTGGCCTCCATCATTCTTAAATGGAAGAAGTTTTGAACCACCAAGACTATTCCTAGAGCTGGCCGCCCGGCCAAACTGAGCAATCGGGGGAAAAGGGACTTGGTCAGGGAGGTGACCAAGAACCCGATGGTCACTCTGACAGTGCTCTAGAGTGCCACTGTGAAGATGGGAGAACCTTCCAGAAGGACAACCATCTCTGCAGCACTCCATCAATTACATTTTACATTTTAGTCATTTAGCAGACGCTCTTATCCAGAGCGACTTACAGTTAGTGAGTGCATACATATTTTTTTATTTTTCATATTGGCCCCCGTGGGAATCGAACCCACAACCCTGGCGTTGCAAACGCCATGCTCTACCAACTGAGCTACATCCCTGTCGGCCATTCCCTACCCTACCCTGGACGACGCTGGGCCAATTGTGCGCCGCCCCATGGGTCTCCTAATCGCGGCCGGCTAAGACAGAGCCTGGATTCGAACCAGGATCTCTAGTGGCACAGCTAGCACTACGATGCAGTGCCTTAGACCACTGCGTCACTCGGGAGATCAATCAGGCCTTTATGGTAGAGTGGCCAGACAGAAGCCACTCCTCAGTAAAAGGCACATGACAGCCCGCTTGGAGTTTGCCAAAAGTCACCTAAAGTCTCTCAGACCATGAGAAACAAGATTCTCTGGTCTGATGAAACCAAGATTGAACTCTTTGCCCTGAATACCGTCACGTCTGGAGGAAACCTGGCACCATCCCTACAGTGAAGCATGGTGGTGGCAGCATCATGCTGTGGGGGTGTTTTTCAGCGGCAGGGACTGGGAGACTAGTCAGGACCGAGGCAAAGATGAACAGAGCAAAGTACAGAGAGATCCTTGATGAAAACATGCTCCAGAGCGCTCAGGACCTCAGACTGGGGCGAAGGTTCACCTTCCAACAGGTCAATGACCCTAAGCACACAGCGGCTTCAGGACAAGTCTCTGAATGTCCTTGAGTGGCCCAGCCTGAGCCCGGACTTGAGAACCCGATCGAACATCTCTGGACAGACCTGAAAATAACTGTGCAGCAACGATCCCCATCCAACCTGACAGAGCTTGAGAGGATCTGCAGAGAAGAATGAGAGAAACTCCCCAAATACAGGTGTGCCAAGTTTGTAGCGTCATACCCAAGAAGATTTGAGGCTGTAATTGCTGCCAAAGGTGCTTCAACAAATTACTGAGTAAAGGGTCTGAATACGTATGTAAATGTGATATTTCAGTTTTGTTTTATTTATAAATGAGCAAAAAATTCTAAAAACCAGTTTTTGCTTTGTCATTATGGGGTATTGTGTGTAGATTCCAAATAAAATTTTGTCATTTAGAGCATTTATTTGCAGAAAATGACAGCTGGTCAAAATAACAAAAAAGATGCAGTGTTGTCAGACCTCGAATAATGCAAAGAAAATAAGTTCATGTTCATTTTTAAACAACACAATACTAATGTTTTAACTTAGGAAGAGATCAGAAATCAATATTTGGTGGAATAACCCTGATTTTCAATCACAGCTTTAATGCGTCTTGGCATGCTCTCCACCAATCTTTCACATTGATGTTGGGTGACTTTATGCCACTCCTGGCGCAAAAATTCAAGCAGCTCGGCTTTGTTTGATGGCTTGTGACCATCCATCTTCCTCTTGATCACATTCCAGAAGTTTTCAATGGGGTTCAGGTCTGGAGATTGGGCTGGCCATGACAGGGTCTTGATCTGGTGGTCCTCCATCCACACCAGAGAAGATGACCTTACTCCAGTCCTCTACGGTCCAATCCTTATGGTCTTTTGAAAACCTCAGCCTGGCTCTTCTTTGCTTATCATTGATGAAGTGCTTTTTTCTAGCTTTGCACGACTTCAGCCTTCCCCCTAGGAGCCTGTTTCAAACCGTCCTCGCCGTGCACTTCACCCCAGCTGCCATTTGCCATTCGTTTTGTAGGTCACTTGATGTCATCCTACGGTTGTTGAGTGACATTTGAATGAGTTGGCAGTCATCCCGGTCAGTAGAAAGTCGTTTTCGCCCTCTGCCGGTCTGTAGCTTTGTTGTCCCAAATGTCTGCTGCTTGACCTTGTTCTTATGAACCGCCGTCTTTGAAATTTTAAGGATGGAAGCAACCTGACGCTCACTGTATCCCTCTGCCTGTAAAGCCAGAATTGAACCCTTTTCCTCACTCAACTTTCCTTTTCAACTCTTTTGGCATGGTCAATAGTTATTTTTTGATTAATATTACTTTTGAGGTACTATTAGCACTGTTTTTGCCATCCAGCCGGTCCTATTGCAAGAGGATAGTATTGACCACAGCAGTGGTTTTTATACTTTTCCTCGTTAAATAAGATTTGGTTCAGGTGATCACTTAATCAGTACCTAATTCAGTAGAATGAGGTGTGCCTGTGTTGGAATTCAACAGACACTGGAATGGAATGGCTGTCATACATGTAGAGATCCTACAGTGGTCCTCTGTAGCTCAACTGAGCATGGCGCTTGTAACGCCAGGGTAGTGGGTTCGATCCCCGGGACCACCCATACGTAAAAATGTATGCGCACATGACTGTAAGTCGCTTTGGATAAAAGCGTCTGCTAAATGGCATATTATTATTATTATTATAGAGATGCTGATTTAAGAAAAATTTGCAGTGGTCTCTTAATTTTTTTCCAGAGCTGTATATATTAGAGAAAGAGAGAGAATTTGTCCCAATACTTTTGGCCCCCTAAAATGGGGGGGACTATGTACAAAAAGTGCTGTAATTTCTAAACGGTACCCCCGATATGGATGAAAATACCCCCAAATTAAAGCTGGCAGTCTGCAATTTAACCGCAGTCATTCTATCATTTAAAATCCAAAGTGCTGGAGTACAGAGCAAAAATAAAATAAAAATCACAATACCTTTGGAGTTCACTGTAAATAGACAAGGTATGGGAGGGAAGAGAAAGGAGATATGAGGGGAAGAGATGGAAACTGGAGAAATGGGGGTCATAAAGGAGAGAAGAGGTGGATGGAGAGGTAAATAGACAAGGGATTGGAGGGAAAAGAGATGAGGGAAGAGAAGAGAAATGGCTTGATATGGAGGTGAAAGGAGAGGAAAGGGAGGTGGAGGGGGAGAAGGACGAGGAGGAGAAAAGACAGTGCTCTTACCTCCTCTAGTCTCTCAATGTTGGCACGGTAACAGGGCACACAGGACCTCAGCTCACTGTTCTCCTCATCCAGCTGCTGCAGCCTACGATAGAAAGCAGCACAGTTTGATAACATACACCGATGATATAGCCACAGTGCAGTACACATTGACAACCCCTATTCAAAATCAAATCAAATTGTATTCGTCACATGCTTCATAAACAACAGGTGTGGACTAACAGTGAAATGCTTACTTTATGGGCACTTCCCAACAATGCAGAGAGAAAGAAAACAGTGAAATAATAGAAAAGTAAAACATGTAATAATAGATACACATTGAGTAACGATAACTTGGCTACAGTTGAAGTCGGAAGATTACATACACCTTAGCCAAATACATTTAAACTCAGTTTTTCACAATTCCTGACATTTAATCCTAGTAAAAATTCCCTGTCTTAGGTCAGTTAGGATCACCACTTTATTTTAAGAATGTGCAATGTCAGAATAATAGTAGAGAGAATGATTTATTTCAGCTTTCTTAGGTCAGAAGTTTACAAACACTCAATTAGTATTTGGCAGCATTGCCTTTAATTGTTTAACTTGGGTCAAATGTTTCGGGTAGCCTTCCACAAGCTTCCCACAATAAGTTGGGTGAATTTTGGCCCATTCCTCCTGACAGAGCTGGTGTAACTGAGTCAGGTTTGTAGGCTTCCTTGCTCACACACACTTTTTCAGTTCTGCCCACAAATTTTCTATAGGATTCAGGTCAGGGCTTTGTGATGGCCACTCCAATACCTTGACTTTGTTGTCGTTAAGCCATTTTGCAACAGCGTTGGAAGTATGCTTGGGGTCATTGTCCATTTGGAAGACCCATTTGCGATCAAGCTTTAACTTCCTGACTGATGTCTTGAGATGTTGCTTCAATATATCCACATAATTTTCCTTCCTCATGATGCCATCTATTTTGTGAAGTGCACCAGTCCCTCCTGCAGCAAAGCACCCCCACAGCATGATGCTGCCACCCCCGTGCTTCACAGTTGGGATGGTGTTCTTTGGCTTGCAAGGGACCCCCTTTTTCCTCCAAACATAACGATTGTCATTATGGCCAAACAGTTCTATTTTTGTTTCATCAGACCAGTGGACATTTCTCCAAAAAGTACGATCTTTGTCCCCATGTGCTGTTGCAAACCGTAGTCTGGCTTTTTTATGGCGGTTTTGGAGCAGTGGCTACTTCCTTGCTGAGCGGCCTTTCAGGTTATGTCGATGTAGGACTCGTTTTACTGTGGATATAGATACTTTTGTACCTGTTTCCTCCAGCATCTTCACAAGGTCCTTTGCTGTTGTTCTGGGATTGATTTGCATTTTCGCACCAAAGAACGTTCATCTCGAGGAGACAGAACGGGTCTCCTTCCTGAGCGGTATGACGGCTGCGTGGTCCCATGGTGTTTATACTTGCGTACTATTGTTTGTACAGATGAACGTGGTACCTTCAGGCGTTTGGAAATTGCTCCCAAGGATGAACCAGACTTGTGGAGGTCTACACATTTTTTTCTGAGGTCTTGGCTGATTTCTTTGGATTTTCCCATGATGTCAAGCAAAGAGGCACTGAGTTTGAAGGTAGGCCTTGAAATACATCCACAGGTACACCTCCATTTGACTCAAATGATGTCAATTAGCCTATCAGAAGCTTCTAAAGCCATGACATCATTTTCTGGAATTTTCCAAGCTGTTTAAAGGCACAGTCAACTTAGTGTATGTAAACTTCTGACACAGTGAATTATAAGTGAAATAATCTGTCTGTAAACAATGATTGGAAAAATTACTTGTGTCATGCACAAAGTAGATGTCCTAAGCGACTTGCCAAAACTATAGTTTGTTAACAAGAAATTTGTGGAGTGGTTGAAAAACGAGTTTTAATGACTCCAACCTAAGTGTATGTAAACTTTCGACTTCAACTGTATGTACAAGGGGTACGAGTCCCGAGTTTATGTGCAGGGGTACAAGGTAATTGAGGTAGATATGTACATGTAGCTAGGAATAAAGCGACATATAGTAAACAGTAGCGTATGTGATGAGTCAAAGTTAGTGCAAAAAGGGTCACTGCAGATAGTTGGGGTAGCTATTTGGTTAAGTATTTAACTAACTATTTAGCAGTCTTAAGGCTTGGGGGTAAAAAGCTGTTCAGGGTCCTGTTGGTTCCAGATTTGGTGCATCAGTACCACTTGCCGTGTGGTAGCAGAGAGAACAGTCAATGAGTTGGGTGGCTAAAGTCTTTGACAATTTTTAGCGCCTTCCTCTGACACCGCCTGGTATAGAGGTCCTGGATGGCAGGTAGCTTGGCCCTAGTGATGTACTGGGCCGTACGCACTACCCTCTGTAGCGCCTTGCGGTCAGATGCAGCCAGTCAAGATGCTCTCAATTAAGCAACAGTTGGACTGATCCTACAGCCTTCTTAGACTTAACAACCCTGAAGCAGCTATCAGCAGACAAAAAACTATCACTAAAAATAGAAATCACCCAAAAATAAATTTAAAACATTAACGTAGAGGAAAGCACCAGGTATTGATGGCTTTCCTATACAATTTTATTTAACATTCTAGGACAAAGTAATGAATGGCCCTATTTACCCAAATGACAACACACGTCACTCATTTCAGTGCTTCCTAGTTCCATGTATCAAACCGTTATGTCAGTTATATTAAAACCAGGAAAATCGTGAGAGTCCCCTGCAGATTACAGACCAATAAATTGCGACAATAAAATACAACTCATAAGCAACAGAATGGCAAAAGTCTTACCAGACATCATACATACAGTGGGGGAAAAAAGTATTTAGTCAGCCACCAATTGTGCAAGTTCTCCCACTTAAAAAGATGAGAGAGGCCTGTAATTTTCATCATAGGTACACGTCAACTATGACAGACAAAATGAGAAAAATAAATCCAGAAAATCACATTGTAGGATTTTTAATGAATTTATTTGCAAATTATGGTGGAAAATAAGTATTTGGTCAATAACAAAAGTTTCTCAATACTTTGTTATATACCCTTTGTTGGCAATGACACAGGTCAACGTTTTCTGTAAGTCTTCACAAGGTTTTCACACACTGTTGCTGGTATTTTGGCCCATTCCTCCATGCAGATCTCCTCTAGAGCAGTGATGTTTTGGGGCTGTCGCTGGGCAACACAGACTTTCAACTCCCTCCAAAGATTTTCTATGGGGTTGAGATCTGGAGACTGGCTAGGCCACTCCATGACCTTGAAATGCTTCTTACGAAGCCACTCCTTCGTTGCCCGGGCGGTGTGTTTGGGATCATTGTCATGCTGAAAGACCCAGCCACGTTTCATCTTCAATGCCCTTGCTGATGGAAGGAGGTTTTCACTCAAAATCTCACTATACATGGCCCCATTCATTCTTTCCTTTACACGGATCAGTCGTCCTGGTCCCTTTGCAGAAAAACAGCCCCAAAGCATGATGTTTCCACCCCCATGCTTCACAGTAGGTATGGTGTTCTTTGGATGCAACTCAGCATTCTTTGTCCTCCAAACACGACGAGTTGAGTTTTTAACAAAAAGTTCTATTTTGGTTTCATCTGACCATATGACATTCTCCCAATCCTCTTCTGGATCATCCAAATGCACTCTAGCAAACTTCAGACGGGCCTGGACATGTACTGGCTTAAGCAGGGGGACACGTCTGGCACTGCAGGATTTGATTCCCTGGCGGCGTAGTGTGTTACTGATGGTAAGCTTTGTTACTTTGGTCCCAGCTCTCTGCAGGTCATTCACAAGGTCCCCCCGTGTGGTTCTGGGATTTTTGCTCACCGTTCTTGTGATCATTTTGACCCCACGGGGTGAGATCTTGCATGGAGCCCCAGATCGAGGGAGATTATCAGTGGTCTTCTATGTCTTCCATTTCCTAATAATTGCTCCCACAGTTGATTTATTCAAACCAAGCTGCTTACCTATTGCAGATTCAGTCTTCCCAGCCTGGTGCAGGTCTACAATTTTGTTTCTGGTGTCCTTTGACAGCTCTTTGGTCTTGGCCATAGTGGAGTTTGGAGTGTGACTGTTTGAGGTTGTGGACAGGTGTCTTTTATACTGATAACAAGTTCAAACAGGTGCCATTAATACAGGTAACGAGTGGAGGACAGAGGAGCCTCTTAAAGAAGAAGTTACAGGTCTGTGAAAGCCAGAAATCTTGCTTGTTTGTAGGTGACCAAATACTTATTTCCCACCATAATTTGCAAATAAATTCTTAAAAAATCCTACATTGTGATTTTCTGGATTTCCTCAATTTGTCTGTCATGGTTGACGTGTACCTATGATGAAAATTACAGGCCTCTCTCATCTTTTTAAGTGTGAGAACTTGCACAATTGGTGGCTGACTAAATACTTTTTTCCCCCACTGTATTAATCAAACAGGGTTTATAAAAAATAGACAATAACAAACAAATTCAAGAACATGTTTCAGTATAATATAATACGCAAAAAAACCAAGATGTAGATTTATCAATAATGTCTGTTGATGTCGAAAAGGCTTTTGACTGTCTTGAATGGCATTTTCTATTCAAAACTTTGGAAGCCTTTAACTTTCCATCTGAAACAATAGATTTAATAAAAATATTATATAAATATCCTAAAGCAAAAATACACAAATAACACATTATATGATGAATTTGCTTTAGAAAGGGTCACAAGACTGGGATGTCCCCTCTCCCCCCTCCTGTTTGCACAGGCAATTGAACCGCTTGCAGAAAGAATTAGACAGGACCCAAACGCAACAGGTCTCAGTATTGGTATGAATATAAACTAAACTTATTTGCTGACGATCTCCTGATATACCTGACCAATATTGAAAAGTCAACCCCTCCCCCCCCAAAAAAAAATCAGAATACTCAACAACAACAAAAATACATAAAATGAACGTGGAAAAATACAAAATAATGGCAATAGGAAAAAGAATAACTCATGATCTACATCAATCCTTTAAGTAGACCACAAAAAATATAAAATACTTTAATAAGTGACAAGAAACGACAAATATATAAAGATTACTTTATCCCATTACTCAACAATATGAAAGCAGATCTAATTAAACGGAACAATCTTCCCATAAATCTTACAGGTAGAATAAACCTCTTCAGAATGGCATGGCTTCCAAAGTTTTTATATTTATTCTCAGTAATACCAAATACCCCACCAAAGACATTCTTTAAAAAAGTATACTATGCCATAACAGACTTTATATGGACAAATACAATTCATAGAATAAAAAGGAACGTTTTTCCATCTTCCTAAGTCAGAAGGTGGTTTTAACCTTCCAGACTTGGAATTGTATCAACTCGCTACCCAAGGCTTTTACTTGCGACATATTGTTAAATGCACTAAAGAGGAATAATGGGTACATATTGAAGATGCACATGCTCATCCTAAGATGCTCTCAATGGTGCAGCTGTAGAGCTTTTTGAGGATCTGAGGGCCCATGCCAAATCTTTTCAGCCTCCTGAGGACGAAGAGGAGTTGTCGTGCCCTCTTCACGACTGTGTTAATGTGTTTGGATCAAATCTATTCAAATAATTCATATTCTGTTCCACACACTGACATTCACAGCTGAGCAGACACAGTACAATAAAACTGACCTGCTGTGACACCTGTGTCTACTCTCCTAAAATAAACCGCTTTGGGCTCAAAGGATATGCAAGGGTCAGAGGTACTCTAGACCAGTAGGTGGCAGTCATGTCCCACATTGCAATTGACAGATACACAGTCATGAGCAGTGTTCACAATCACAGCCTCTAAAGACCCACGCAACAGGCACAACTGCTGGCCACCCTCGCTGTATTTGTATATAAAAATCTAAACATTGCTTTGTGTATCTGCACATTCACAGTGCAGATACACATTCAAACACCTGCCCCCAGGTCCCTCGTACACTTACAGACATACAAACAGACCTGCCCTATTCGCTTCTATAGGTCAACTTATTGTAGTTCTCACACATGCACACATAACTGAACACCCACCCACCCCACACCACTGACCTAGCTTGCAAGTTCTCCAGCTCCAGGTCCCTCTCCCGCTCCAGCTTGGTGAGGGCGTCCTTGTGGCGGCGGGTCTCCTGGTGCAGGTGGTCCTCGGCGCGGAGCTCCTGCTCCTTGAGCTGCTCCTCCAGGGCGTTGGCCCGGTGCACCAGCTGCAGGTTCTCCTGGCGGAGCCGTGTGTGCTGCTCCCCGCTGGCCTCGGAGTCCTTCTCCAGCTCCGCCGTGCGACGCTCCAGCAGGAGCACCTGGGAGAGGGACGGGGTAAGGGTTTAGAACAGAGCAGTGTTGTTTGTTTAATAGGATCTTTTTAGCCCACAACGGGGGGGGGGGGGGGGGGGGGCTAATCTTCCAAGTCTTTACAAGGTGTTATGTGGTACAACACTGTGTGGAACTGACAGGTTCTTTGTAGCATTTAAGTGATGTTATTGAGAACTATTGAACTCTTTCTTTACATTCATATTCAGTGCTGTATAATGCTGTTTGACACTGTTGATCAACTCTGTATGATGCTGTATAATGTTCCGATGCCGTGTTGTGATGTTGAACTCTGACCTTGTCAGTGATGTCGGTGTCGGCCAGGTCCAGTATGTCCCGGGACAGCTCGCCCATGCTGCCCAGCGTCATGGAGCTGTTCCGGAGGTGTCTGAAACACCGGAGAGGAAATATGCTAAAATGGTTATCATAAAGAAAGCTTGGCATGTTTATCCCAAAAATACACCATATTTTCACATTCAATTTAAAAGACTATTCTACAGAATTAATTCAACAAATACATTTTGACCTACCGTGCTGCTTTCTTGCTGGACAGCCTCTTGCTGGAGCTGAATGGAAACCAGACAGGAAACCAGTCAGGAAGAGAGAAAGGATAAGAGGAAAGAGACACTGTCCGTCTCCTGGTGTCTCTCTTTCCTACTCCCCATCCCCTCATCCCTCGCTCCAAAAAGCAGAGGGATAAAGAGGTTGTCATACTGGGAGGATAGGGTCCTAAAGTATGGTACATGTTCACATGTACATCTGAGTAGTCACACACACAACCAGGGTCGTGTTCATCAGGGCACGCAACAGAATACATTTTAAAATGTTTTGCAACAGAAAACGAACATGCGTGTTTCTTATTGGACAAGTCTGAGGTAGGCCTAGTCCCTCCCTGTTTCAGTCCATTTTCTTCTGTTGTGTTCCTAATGAACAAAACCCAGGCACAAAAAGGTTAATTTTTGAACAGGCACAAGACGATTCAGTCTATTTGTAAGGTTGCAATGGACTACTTGAAATGGAACATGAGAGCAATCACATAAGCCAGACACCAATCATACTTTTATCTCGGCAGGCTTTTTATTTGAGAGAAACTGTGGTGTAGTTGACCCTGCTCAGTCAATCGACTGCTCTTCCCTCTGCCAGCCTCTAGCTGACTCGACGGTTAACCCGTCAGCTTCAAGTTAATCTTTATCATTTCAATAATTTACTATCTGTGATATGCTAGATGCCTGCTTAAGATTGATGGAGAAAAGAAATCTACTGGAGCTGATATGCTCGATCCATTTTTACTACAGCTCTCTGCCCCCGATTGATGAATCATTAACCCATATTTCTAACCTGACGATTATCTCTGGTACTATCCCCAAGGTTTGGAAGGCGGCCAATGTACTCCCCCTTCACAAAGGTGGTGACCTTTGTGACCTGAATAATTAAAACCGGCCTATTTCTAAACTTTCTTGCCTAGCTAAAATATTAGAATCCTTGATTAATTCTCAGCTAAGATCTTTCTTATCTTTGAAATGTATTCTAAATGTATATCAGTCGGGTTTTAGACCAGATCATATAGCACTATCTCTGCTGCATCCCTAGTTATAAATGTGGTTAACAGTATGGATAAAAAGGCAACATTGTGCTGCCCTCTTCATTGACACGTCAAAGGCTTGATACTGCTAATTCCGAGGCTTTCCTCAAATTGGCCTAGATCAGGCTGCATGTAACTGGTTTAAAAATTACTTGACAGATAGAACTCAATGTATCTACTGATGGTGTTAAATCAGGTTTCCTGGATATTACAAAAGGTCTCCCGCAGGGGTCGATTCAGGGTCCTGTATTTTTTACTGTTTACATGAACAATATCGACTTCTCTTTAAAAAATTGTAACCTGCACTTGTATGCCGATGATACTGTTGTGTATGCTATTGCCCCACAGTTGACCAGGCTCTATCTGAACTACAGTCTGCCTCCATTGTATTACAGAAGAACTTTATTGACCTGAAAATAGTATTGAATGCAGGTAAAACTAAGTATATGTTGTTCTCTAGAGCGCATAAAAATAAGTCTGATGATTAAGCATATGTACTTTGGATGGTGTCCATATTGATCGTGTCCCTGCTTACAAATATCTGGGCATCTGGATAGATGAAAAGCTGTCTTTTAAAAAGCATATTGATGAGTTTGTTAAGAAGCTGAGAATAAAAATGGGCTTCTTCTATAGAAATAGGTCCTGCCTCTCGCTAAATAGTAGAAAGCAGATTATTCAGTCAACGTTCTTATCGGTCCTAGACTATGGCGACATCATCTATATTAACGCAGTTGCCACTTCATAAGAGGCAGTTTATCACAGCGCACTGCGCTTTATTACGGGCTAACATTTTTGTGCTCATCACTGCAACAAGAAAGTTGGTTGGCCCTCATATAAATATCTTGGAATTCTAATTGATGACGGCCTCTCTTTTAAATTGCATATTCAACAACTTACAAAAAAATTGAAGCTGAAATTGGGATTTTATTTTAGGAATAAGGCCTGTTTTTCTTTTGAAGCCAGAAGGAGGCTAGTATCAGCTACATTTATGCCTTTACTAGACTATGGGGATATTTTATATATGAATGCTTCCGCTCAGTGTTTGAGATCAATTGACACTCTTTATCATGGTACTTTGAGATTTATTTTAAACTGCAAAACCCTTACGCACCACTGTACTTTGTATACCAGGGTTGGCTGGCCTTCTCTAGTCACTCGTAGGCTCAGTCACTGGTATACTTTTATTTACAAAGCCATTTTGGGTTTACTACCTTTTTATTTGGGCATTTTTATTGTTCAGAAATGTGGTGGGTACTCTCTTCGTTCACTGGACTTTATCCTGCTAACTGTTCCAAATGTCCGAACTGAATTTGGTAAAAGGTCTTTTATGTACTCTGCGCCATCGTCTTGGAACACCTTACAAAATAATTTTAAACTGGAAGAACTTGTCCCGATTGGTGTTTTTAAATCTCTGATGAAGGATTTTGAGGCTGATTCCCTGACCTGTCAATGTTTTTAATTTGCTGTTTTTGATATTGTTATACTCTTGTGAATTCATGAATGGTTTTTACTAGATTACTTGTAGTTTTTCATGTTGTCTGTCTGTAATTTTTTGTAATGACTTGGTGCTGCCTATCTTGGCCAGGACGCTCTTGAAAAAGATATTTTAAATCTCAATGAGCCCTTCCTGGTTAAATAAAGGTTAAATAAAAATAAAAAAATAAAATTTGATGTCACGTAGGTTGATACATTGCTATGTTTTAATTTATAAAGTCCTTTTACATAAAGTCCCACTGTACCTTACATCATTACTAAACTTTAGACATACGAGTTACCACACCCGGTCTCAGGGATGGTTAACTCTGGAAATTCCTTTGGTCTCTACGGAGTTAGGTAAATCAGATTTAAGTTTTCTTGCACCTTATTTGTGGAACAATCTTCAAAATGTTCTTACATTTGATGTTCTGGTGCCTCTAGGGCAATTCAGAAGGCTGATTGAGAACTTTATTACTGATGTGTTTGGTTTTTAATTACTGTGTTTTTCTTTCTTTCTTTCTGCTTGCATTTTGTATTTCTATTTTGACGTGTGTATTTTCTGTAATTCAGGGCTAATAGTAAAAGAGACCTTGGTCTCAGTATGACTCCCTGATAAAACAAAGGTTCAAACCATTGCAATTGACACCACTCACCTGTGAAGTTAATTCAGATTTAGCATTCTTTTTTACAATTTGTCACTGCACAGACGGAATTCTTTCCATGAGCTTGACAGGATGTGAGATACAGTATGTATATATGAAACGTATAAGGCATGCACTGATATGAGCAATGGGAACTCTGGGCAAACCTTCTGTTGGCCACCTAGCACGACGGTCCACCAAACACACTTTTACAAACAACTATGCACCTTTAACCTTACGAATCTTATTATAACAATACAGTACAGATACGATGAGCAAGCTGAGTCAAGCCAAACACCAATGCTGTCAACACAACGCATCTCACACACAAACGTGCATTGAAGAGTGAAGATTAGTGGAGTGAGTGAGATGTGTGTGACGAACCTATTCAAAAACATACACACTGTCATACAGAACGAGAGCAGTGTGTGTTACCTTGTCAACACGGCAATACACACACACACACACAGGTAAACATAGTGGTGGTGGGACGTGTTACCTATTTATCTCTAGGAAATTGAGGCGAGTGGAGAGGTCCTCCAGGCGAGAGATTTGTTTGTGACATTGGTTACAGAAAAAGTCCAGTGCCTCCTCCCTGAGGAAGCTCTGAAAGCTGGCGGGGAGAGTAGTGGGGGCGCTGGGGAGAGGAAGAGAGGGGGGGGGGGGGGGAGGAGAGGGAGTGAGTGACAGAAAAGTGGGGTGCACAGTGATGGAGAAGAGGAAGCTTTGGGAATCAAGAGTGCAGGATTATCAGAGTTAGTGAAAAGTGAGACAAAATTGGGCTGTGGGGTTTACTGAAAGGTTTGATACCATCTAAAAGCGTTGTTGCAACCGAGGTTTCGTCCTGTCATTGGGCTCACTTTTATACACTGAGTGTACAAAACATTAAGAACACCTGCTCTTTCCATGACAGATTGACCAGGTGAATCCAGGTGAAAGTTATGATCCCTTATTGATGTCACTTGTTAAATCCATTTAAATCAGTGTAGATGAAGGGGAGGAGACAGGTTAAAGAAGGATGTTTAAGCCTTGAGACAGATGAGACATGGATTGTGTGTGTGCCATTCAGAGGGTGAATGGGCAAGACAAAGAATTTAAGTGCCTTTGAACGGGGTATGGTAGTAGGTGCCAGGCGCACCGGTTTGTGTCAAGAACTGTAACTCAGCTGGGTTTTTCACGCTCAACAGTTTCCTGTGTGTATCAAGAATGGTCCACCACCCAAAGGACATCCAGCCAACTTGACAAAACTGTGGGAAGCATTGGAGACAACATGGGCCAGCATCCCTGTGGAACGCTTTCAACACCTTATAGAGTCCCTGCCCTGACAAATTGAGGATGTTCTGAGGGCATAAGGTGGGGTTGCAACTCAATATTAGGAAGGTATAGTGAAGGACACTAATGTGAAGTAACAGCTGCAGTAGGGTGTATATGTGTGTGTTGCAGTAGTAGTGATGCAACAGTGTGTGTTTGTAGACAGTGGCAGTGAAGCAGCAGTGTACTGTCTAGGTGTGTGTGTTTGTGTGTGTGTCTAGTAAGACAAGGAGAGTGGTTCACATCCTGTGCGTACAGAGGTGTCGTTTACACACATCAGTGTGAAGGATGTCAGAGCAATTTTACACTTCAGCTCTGACCAGTAGTATGTCTCTCAGCATCACCTCATACAGCACTGCACTAACCACAATGCTCCTGCAACACACTGGAAATCACAATGGACTCATTCAAACTGCCTTAGTGCCCATTTATTCTGGTTGGAAGGAAGTTATGGTTGTAAGGTTGAATTACAGAGGGGGAAAAAGGTTTAGTATTACTGGTAACTCGGAAGGAATCATTAAAGCCATTTAGCCAGCTTATTTCCATATTGTGACAGAGCGAGAAAAGCTATACAGTTAGCTGGCTAAGCGCTTCCTGGCATGAGCGATCGGGAAAATATCACCCAAACGGGAATTACGCATTATCCGGCTTAGTGTCTCTGAAAACAAAGTGTAGGAGAAGGAGGGGGTGGAGTGACTGCAGAAAAAGGAGAGGAAGTGCTCAGTAGCGTTCAGGCAGAGCAGTACTGTGTCAGAGGAAGGAGAGAGGGGAGTGAGTGTACAGGTGTGGTCAGATGAGACAGACACATCCATATTGGCCGGCTCAATCCTCAACTTTGTGTTTGGAGCCTATGGAAAGCCTGGAACTTTCAACTTTGGCTGAATTCCATTCCAGAAACATGGTTATGTCTCCCCTTAATAACATGCCCTTGTAAACTCAAGGGGACTGGATGTGTGTAAGTATAAATGAGTTTGCACCATATTGCTTTCACCTGCCCAGTCCTTTCAGATACCTCAGAGCGAGCAATGAAGGGCAGAGAGAAGGGAGCGCGCTTTTAGGAATGGAATCCAGCCCGTGTCCTCAGTTTCACAGAGTAAGCAGCAACAGGGAGAGAGAGTGTGAGTACGTGAACGTTGCCCTTGTTTTCTTTTATCTCACCCTTCAGGAACAGGAGGCAGTAGGGGTGGAATGGGAAGGACGTCGCCAGAGTTCTTAACATGTTTGGCCTCCAGTCTTTCCAAATATACAGCCAGTCAGTCTGGTTATAACAGCACCGGGGGAGGTTGTGGCTGTTAGATTGTAGCTAATTAAATCTACCCTGCTACTCTATCCAACAGGACAATTTCCCTGTTCCCTGACAGGAGCCAATGATGACAACTACTAACAACTACACTGTGCGTTTGACTTTAGAGATGATACCCTAGGATAAAATGATGTTGTCGTTGGTAACAATGTGGCAGATACTGTGGGTGACCTTCATCCGACATGTCCGTTTTCAACTGATTAGTAGTACTAAGCCTAGCCTACACATTCCTATACGTCACAGTCATACCTTGAGTGCTTAGTTGGACTCGAGTGTGGGCTATTGACTGGCTGCCGTTCTTTAAGGGTGGTCCGTACCTGGGAGAGAGTAGCAGGGAGGAGCAGTTGTTCTGGTCCAGAGTCTGGAGGTGGGACGAGTCCCCCTCTCCCTCTGTCCCCTCCTCAGTGGTGTCCAGCAGCAGCTCCGAGGTGTTGCTCTCCCCAAAGTCCTCAAAGTGCTCCTCCACCTCCCTGCCGATCACTGTCACCATGGAGTGGCTGTGCAGCTCTGAGCTTAAGGAGAACCTGAGGGAGAGAGGGAAAAGGGGGGATAAGAATGTGTGTGTATAAAAGAGAGAGACAAATAGGAGAATAAATGCTCCTAAAGACTCTCAGACCATGAGAAACAAGATTATCTGGTCTGATGAAACCAAGGTCAAACTCTTTGGCCTGAATGCCAAGTGTCACGTCTGGAGGAAACCTGGCACCATCTTTACAGTGAAGCATGGTGGTGGCAGCATCATGCTGTGGGGATGTTTTTCAGCGGCAGAGAAAGATGAACAGAGCAAAGTACAGATAGATCCTTGATGAAAACCTGCTCCAGAGCACTCAGGACCTCAGACTGGGGCGAAGGTTCACCTTGCAACAGGACAACAACCCTAAGCACACATCTCTGGAGAGACCTGAAAATAGTTGTGCAGCGCCGCTCCCCATCCAACCTGACAGAGCTTGAAAGGATCTGCAGAGGAGAATGGGAGAAACTCCCCAAATACAGGTGTGCCAAGCTTGTAGTGTCATTCCCAAGAAGACTTCCACGAAGTACTGAGTAAAGGGTCTGAATACTTATGTAAATGTTATATTTCCGTTTTTTATTTTTAATACATTTGCAAAAAAATCTAAAAACCTATTTTTGCTTTGTCATTATGGGGTATTGTGTATAGATTGATGAAGAAAAAAAACGATTTAATCCATTTTAGAATAAGGCTGTAACGTAACAAAACGTGGAAAAAGTAAAGGGGTCTGAATAATTTCCGAATGCACTGTATGTGTGATTGTGAACAGCCCGTTCCACAAATCCTTTGCACATTTGAGGCTTTAGCTAAAGTTAGGGTTGGAGTTAACTTTAGTCTCCTCTTCACTTGACTTGCATCTATTACTGTTTATCACTGCTTCTATAAAAACAGATCTGGGTTCATCCACCTCCAGACCACAGTGGCATCCTTAGTTAACAAGGCTGATCTTCACTGAACAAAAATATAAATGCAACATGCAACAATTTCAAAGATTTTACTGAGTTACAGTTCATATAAGGAAATCAGTCAATTTAAATAAATTCATTAGGCCCCTAATCTATGGATTTTACATGACTGGGCAGGGGTGCAGCCATGGGTGGGCCTGGAAGGGCATAGGCCCAAGACTTGGGAGCCAGGCCCAGCCAATCAGAATGAGTTTTTCCCCACAAAAGGGCTTTATTACAGACAGAAATACTCTTCAGCACCGGCTCAGACGATTCCGCAGGTGAAGAAGCCGGATGTGGAGGACCTGGGCTGGCGTGGTTACACGTGGTCTACGGTTGTGAGGCCGGTTGGACGTACTGCCAAATTCTCTAAAACGATGTTGGAGGTGGCTTATGGTAGAGAAATTAGCATTAAATTATCTGGCAACAGCTCTGGTGGACATTCCTGCAGTAAGCATACCAATTGCACGCTCCCTCAAAACTTGAGACATCTTTGGCATTGTGTTGTGTGACAAAACTGCACATTTTAGAGTGGCCTTTTATTGTCATCAGCACAAGGTGCACCTGTGTAATGATCATGCTGTTTAATCAGCTTCTTGATATACCACACCTGTCAGGTGGGTGGATTATCTTGGCAAAGGAGAAATTCTCACTAACAGTGATGTAAACAAATTTGTGCACAAAACTTGAGAGAAATAAGCTTTTTGTGCAAAAATATTACAGTGTGAGTGTAGATATGGGCCAAATTCTATATTCAGATTTTAGCACATTGTTTGGGTTGAACTGAGACGCCTGGAAAGCAACTAGCCTAAATCCAAGAGCGCTTGGCATCACAGATTAAGACAGCCCTGCAAAGTGCCCGGCAATCTGGACAAGTTCTACAATCAGTTATCTTTAAGGGTAATCTGCTAATTAATTAATCCCACAGACTCATTGGTCGAGATTTAATGTCTGTGCTCCACCGGCAATGTTAAACTAATGTCTGTAGAGTCAACAGACTTTAACCCACTCAATCCTGCCCTCAAATTCACTTTACGCTAACTCCGACACAGTAGCCTGCACTTAATCAGTGATCACACAGACCTATCCACTTCAAATCAAATCAAATTTGATTTGCCACATGCGCCGAATACAACAGGTGTAGACATTACAGTAAAATGCTTACTTACAAGCCCTTAACCAACAATGCAGTTTAAGAAAATAAATGTTAAGTAAAAAACAGATACATTTTTTAAAAAGTTTAAAAATAAGAATTAAAGAGCAGCAGCAATGCAAATAGTCTGGGTAGCCATGATTAGCTGTTCAGGAGCCTTATGGCTTGGGGGTAGAAGCTGTTAAGAAGCCTTTTGGACCTAGACTTGGCGCTCCGGTACGGCTCAGCATCTGTTAACTAAACATTCAAAAACAATTAACACAGATTCAGCACAATGCTCAGATCCAAAGAATGCACAACCGTTTTAACACCATAACACTAACACTTTAGCATAGCACTCAAAATCTCCACCTCAATACGCTTGACAAGCAAGTAGCAACTCAACCCAACATACGGACCCACTTACCCACTACTCAGCCCAACACTGAGGTCCCTAAGGTCCCTAGCAAGGTCCCTAGTAAGCACATAGAGTGCGGGAGACCGCATATTTAAACGCTGTCCGCTGCCCCCACGTCTCAACCTCGGAGCAACTGGAGACAGACGACCTCCAGCCAATCAGAGTGGAATCCTGAACGCTCACTGGCTACACCAACCCAAGAGTAGTACTGCCCAGTTCTCCAGTTAAGAGACAATCCCAAAGACCTTGTCCACTCAAGAGATCAGTCCACTGTTCCCAGAACATTTGCACACTATTTTTCTTTGCAATGAACGTTTAACAGGTTACCACCAACGTGGGCGACTAGAAAGTCTTCATCATGTGTTTTCTGTCCTCACAAATGATCAGTACTCACAAGTGACCAGTCGGTCATTCCCTGTTACCATGGGCTCTTCCTCGTAGACTTGAGGCAAGATGGGGAGGCAGGCTGTGAGTGGCTGAGGGTTAATCAGATTTAGGGCTAAACATGGGGCACCAGGCAGGCACAGTGACTGGCCAGGCCCCAGTCAAGTGAGGGGGTGCTGGGGTAGGACAGGACAGGTCGATGGGGTAGGGTGGGTAATCCTGTTAAACTCCTAATCCCCAGCCAAGAACATAGAGCCAAGGCATTCAAGGACTTGGTTTGATGGGAAGTCGTGATGTCATCGGCCTCCCCCCTTGCTTGAGGAACAATAGAGGAGCAATAGAGAACAAAAGAGCAAAGGCCCACCCCCCCATTTGTGCTATGTCATGACTTACCTGGACCACCTATTGAGATGTGCCTTTTGTTAAGTAGATCTGGTGTTAAATGAAGTTAAAAGGGGACTGGAGTGCCCCATTGTTAAACGTTACTGACACAGTGTTGAGTCAACGTGTGTAGAAATTAGTCTAGTTGTTAATGCAAGAGCACATGACTGAGGCGGGAGTGTGTTGTTATTGTGCTGATTTGCTTAATTTGTTTTGTTTATCTTTACCTCTGATGGTCAAAGGTGACTGATGATCCCACCGCTGCCACCAACTGTAAACCTTTTCACAGTGACATCAACTCAAAATGGTTGTTGTCGTTTGTTTCTGTAATTCATCTGCGGTTTTCTTCTGACCCATCAGTGACAGACAGGACAACACAGGAAATGTGGAACTTAAAGAAGGAACTGAGTTGAAACGCAGACAAATCTGCCTCAGGGAAGACTGGATAGGTAAGGCCTGAGATAACCGCAGTAAGCTGAAGTTAGAAAGTTATATAAGAAAACACCTGTATGGCAAGAGTGACAGGAGCATGATCAGATATAGTTAGCAGAGTAGAAAAGGGATGTCAGATAGACGTTTGGCAGTGGAATATATTTCCATTCAAAATGTGTCAAGTTGACTGACAAGATTCAGCCCAGCGAAAGGTCCAAATTGACTGAAAGTAATTTATTTCAGGGGAAGTTCAGCCCTGGAGAGCCAGGGGACAACCTTCCATAATTACTGCCAAATTGCTAACAGCGCAGGACTGCTGAAACAGGAGTAAGTGGAAGTGTCAGAGTTTCTGCCGGCCGGGGCTTTGGCCCCCATCAGCATGAAGGAAAGAGGTGTCAGGGAGCAGAGGAGGGAAGATGGGGCCCTCTCCAGAAAAAAAATGAAAAAAGCGAAAAAGAGCGAACTCCACACTTCCTGGAATTCAAGGCTCAGCTGGGAACGGGAAGTCCAAACACATCCCTGTCAACTGGACCCCCCTGATCCATCATCAAGCCGGCGAGACAGGTCACGCAGTCAGCAGATAAGGCCTTATTCCCCTACACTTCCTCCTCCCTCGAGACTGACTCTACGCACAACATGCAAAACCAACTCATAAATACACTCAGAATAAAGCCCCAAACAGCAGCTATTGTATTTACTTACACTGAGGGCAGACACCCTCTCTCTTTCTTAGAGCAGATTGATATGGTCAACCTATAGGCCTAAAGTAAAATCAAGTTACTATAGTCGTAGCCTACATCAAAAATGACTTGATGTAGGCTACATTTCTTCAATTAGGTATCAAACACTTGACAGAGATATCTGGAACACAGTGTGCTGCCCGTGAAAAGGACGTTGTCAAGTGGCTGTTCCAAACAGGTGGCGACCACTAATCTGGCTGTAATCAGGGGGGTGGGGGTGAGGGTACACTACACAGTGCCCACAACTAGACTAATCATCATCTCCTCATTCTAACATTTGACCCAATTAATTCATTAGGGGTGGACAAACCCCACCCAAACAAATCCTCAGATAAAGAGCACAAGACAATGTTAATATGTTTTCAGTATTTGCCCTAAGGGGCAATATGTCTAGTTATTGCCCCTAAGGGTACAACTAAAGTTGCACTGACTTGAATCAAATTTGTTGGGCTTTTGACAATACTCCAAAAACAGAGTTCAACAGGCAAAAGGTGTCATGTTATTGCCTGCCGTCCGCTAACCAGAAAACATTGTTAACGGGGTTCTACTAAGCTATATGGAATAGTTTAAAAAAAGGTCATA